TTCAGCTGACTTCGAGAATTGTATACGCCTTCCGCTTACACCTCTTATAAAATCCTGAGCTGGTAAAGATTTGAGCAAAGACTATAATTCTCCCAAAAACTTTCACCTACTGCAAGTATAATACTGTTTCCGTTATTATTGGTATCAAAACACGAACAAGCAATTCAAATAGACGTCTTTTTGGGTGGGGTATTTCAATATTTCGCATTACGTGTACAGGGAACATAATTATAAGGCCGAGTCTTTTGCAAAATGTTTATCATACGGTGTTGGTGTTGGACTTGTATTTTGCTAATATGTAAACCCTGATCAGGCATCGTGTTGCACACTGCAGTATATCACATGTTAAAGGGCCCATGAAGTGAAAGTTTCTTAGGAACTTATTTTGTGCTGCTTTCTAATCCTCCTATAAGTGTATGAAAATTGTGTAATTTTTTTGGCAAATTTTTCTGAAAAGTGCACTTCTTTAAACATTTAAAAAATTTCATGTTTTCCAAGACAACTGAGGGCGCTGTTGCCGTGATGTCATTGCAGCTATTGAAATTGTGAACCCAACAATTTTCTCGCTGAAAACATTTGTGAGAAAAGCTTGCTCATTGGCTAATACTGACATGAACTGACACAACAACGAATCACTAAAGAAACGAAAGTTTACGAAAGCGAAATATCCAAAATTCTGGCAACTTTTTGTGAGGTTTCAGCCTCATTATGACATCACATATTGCTCATGAATATGGAAATTTTCATTGGCATAAAAACCAAAAAGGCACCAAAGTACCCTTGAAAATGGCAAAATGAAAATTGAAAATAAGGTTAAATGGGACATAAAGGTGCATTTTCAAGAATTGCATTAAAAATACATTTCATGAGCCTTTTAAGTTAAACCTGTGTGGTATCTTTGTTGGACCAGTGGTCCTATATGCCATACATGTATATACCACATGTAGTAATTTTTGCAACGCAGTGCATTTAATTTAGTGTGGATATGCAGAAGTAAGACTTTATAAATTAAAAAGAGAAAAAAATGGATCCTTTGTTTGATGAATCACACAAAATGCGCTCTTGGATGAAAAAGTAACGCTTTTTTATATGAAATTTATACATGTTGTTCCTCTTTTTGCATGTACCTACTCTAAAACATTTAGTTATATATTTAGATTTAATAGAATTTATTGAATTTTTGTTTTTAACTAAATGTATAGATATTCTATTCAATGATATACCTAACTTCCCCTTGCAAATAATCAAATAAAGATATAATTCTGGCATGGAATTGAAAGACTTTCTTTTAAGTTTCTCCTTAGAATTGGAAATGTTTTGCAGACGCCATTTTAAACATTTTATGAACGTCCTTAGCTACTCAAATCTACATTCCCACAGAAGTATCGCTTTGTGAATGTTCATCTGATTTTCTCTAAAGAAATGGAAGGAAAGGAGACAAATTAAGGAAGCATTTGTGGCAGAGTACTGATAATATAAGGCCTTTAGAAAAGGGCGGATCCAGAACACAATTTTTTGGGGGGGGGGGGGGCAAAACAATTGGTTCCTCAGAACAAATTACGGCGTGTGGATTCGGGGCCCGCTGAAGGGCCCCGAATTTGTTTTTGGATTCTAGATGCTCTGGGGTGCGATCTGAGGCAATTTCTGACCACTTTAACCAATTTTATTTTGAGGAAAAGATGGTGGTATACACAGTGCCTGCCATTATTGCGAAGTTACTTAACAGTAAGAAAATTGGGTTCTTTTTTGTTTTAATTTTTTTTTTTGGGGGGGGGGCATGGCCCCCGTTGTCCCCTCCCCCCCCCCCCCCCCTTACCGGATCCGCCCTTGCCTACAGATTAAAATTATGATTACCGGTTGCTTTAGAGGTTAAGTTATGGGAGTATTTTTAGATATGGGAATCTTCCGCTTCAATTTATTTTATTTCTATTTTGCTTTTATTTATATTTGGAGAACCATGGGAGAACTCACTGTGATGTGGAGATTGTGACTGTAAGGGATTTTTCACTTTAGGTCACTTTGATTTTTGTGTAGTCGGGCGAAGGCATGCGCGTTGATATCGTGGCTCAGGTTCTTCCTAATTGCTGATTGTGGTGCGCGTGCCGCAGCTTCGTATTTTGTCCTATAATAATATCACGAGGCCAAAAAAGGGGGAAATGTGGACAGCAGGAAACGGGTTAAAGCGTGGACCAAAACGAAATTGGAATGGCGTGAAAGATAAAACAAAAAATATTATCACTTTCGAATACATTGAAGGTCATACCTCTTAATCAGCACCGCGTATTGCGGGGTGTGGTGTTAAATAACACTTTGCGGTGTTTGCAATGTCTCATGTTAATTAGGCCAGAAAAAAAACGTCTGCTTCCGATTACATGGCATTCAAAAATAGGGTAGGTAGGAAGGTAGGGAATTTTTTTTGCCAAATTTTGTGTGTGTACGATCACATCGAGGCGTCTGTGTGTAGTCAAGGGTAAAAGGCAGAAATTGATGGTTTTGGGTGTTTTTCCCCCTCATTTTTCCCATTAAAAAAATAGGGTAGGGGCTGTCAGAATAGGGTGGGTAGGGAAACCGGAAGTAGAACGTGTGTGTGTGTGGGGGGGGGGGGGGGAGGGGCCTTAGCGAAGGAGAAGGATTGACTATAATTCTCCACTGATGGTGTCACTGAAGCGGGTTAGAGCATTCAGGGGCGCTTCTCTTTACTTTTGAGTTCTAACCATTATTTTGAGCCCCCCCCCCCCCCCCCTCGCCTGTATTTATCTATAGCCAAATTCTGCATAGTCGAATGTCCTTGTTCTAATTCTCTGCGGTGCTTGAGGATTGTCGAAGTTGTTGGGATGTATATCGGTAGATATTAAGAAAATGAATCCACTTCTTTCAGAAAGTACCTGGCTTGTCTCGGTTTTTACAAGTGTAGTTCTTCTGTTAAACGACTCAGAGAGGATTGTTATCCGGCCAGGCATCAGATATTTCACGATGATACACCGTGGTTATGATGCAGCTAAGCTGATAATTATCATGCCCTACTAAAATCAATCTACGGATTCCCTTCTACTAACGAATTATGTAATTATGTAAGAAAAAGTAAAGTACATTGTTTGCTTAAAATCCACACTCTGATTTTGGTTCGAAGATACCGTTTTCACTTTGACTGAGAGCGCGGATTGATGGAATTATCAAAGTACAATGTATTACACCCAATTTTTTTTTTTTAACTTTTGAATAGACTCAGTGCGCGCGATCTGAATCTACACGAAGGCAACTTAAAGAATATTGAGACAGGGGGCGAAATGACCATTTTGAGATTTGTTTAAATTCAAGATTTGATTGATTCCTCGGCAAATTTAAATGGAATTAAAAGAAGAAATCGCATGCTGCCAATTTATGTGTCTATTGTGAAAGAATCTGTGGGTTTTTTAAATGTACATTGGAAGGTAGTTCTTTTTCATAGTAGTTTCAGTGGCGTAATTGGGGGGGGGGGTGTCACGGGGAATATCCCACACTCGAGACCTGTGCTTCCTTTCATGTGCCCCCCCCCCCCCTCCATAATTTGGGAAGGACAAATGGGCGTTTGATTGTCAAACACGTGTTGTGTCCCCATTGAGGCCTCCTAAGTACCCCGGCAAATTTGATTCTACTTACACTGTTGTTTATTAGAGGCGTTATATTGGTTAAAAAGGTACTCAGTAATCAGGCCACCATCATCACCAATACCATCATCAGTTAATCACCAGTGTAATTTGAATATGCATCCCTTCGTATCCTTTTCAGCTATAATGTGCATACAGGAACTGAATAAACAGGAAATTATTTGAAATGAATTGCTGTGACGATTGATTTCATTCCGAGTTTTTACATCCTGAATAAATTTTGAAGGTTTCGTGGCGTACGGTTGGCGATAGAATATGAAAACTCTAGCAATTCGACCATTTTTTGTTGGTAGCTGCGTTCTTCACAATTCAGCTTCTACATGCTGCGAGTAAGAACGATTAGCTCTCCAAATTTGTTAATATATTTATTAATTTAGTTATTATATTGATATCGCAGCACAAGCAAATCGGACAAATCTCATCAGTCTCATTATCTTATCGTAAACCTCTTGAAACACTAATGAATCAAACCTTCTTATATTCGAGAAAAACAATGAAGATACACCTACCAACCAACTGACCACAACAGTTCCAACAATTCAAGTTAACCGTCGACAGTCGACGATTTCATTTTAAGTCAACTGAATAAAAAAAGATTCAACCCCTTATACGACTTTACTTCAGGTCAAATTACAATGCGGCAACAATTAATACAGCTGACTGCTCAAATGTTCTTCTTTTGTAAAGATATTTTAATAACAATAAAAGAAATAGTATTTTGATCTTGACCCTCTAACTCAGAACTTGGAGAATCGGACTCAGTCTGCATTCCCCGTCTGACTGTAACCTGTAAGTCAACCTGTCCGTTTTAGAACACCATAGTAAAGTCCTCCCCCACCCCCACCACCCCACCCCCTCACCCAACCTAATCGTTTATTTACAGGAGTTCTCGGAATTTAATACAGTTTAGCTCGGGCGAACCTTTCAGAAGTAGTTGAGAGGAGTCAAATAACCAAGGTAACCTTGAAGATGTGGAGGTGACCCCCCCCCCCCCCCCCCCCCCCTCGTAAGAAATGAGTGCGCAAAAGCAATCACGCACGCTCTTTACATATCTTCTGAAACGACTGATGCGAGTTTAAGAAGCAGAGCTCAAGTAGGAGATTTTCTAAATCCGGCTTCGTCCCAAATTAGGCTTCGTCTCTAGCTCAAGAAACTTTGTGAAGCTTTGATGTCAAAACCAAATTTTACACATTCTCAATTGTTACCTCAAATTTAGGAAAATCTGGACCCCGTATACTTGGCTGAAGTCAGAAACGTAAGACTAAAAAATTCCTAAAGCCGATGTGCATACAAAGCCAAGGTTTGGAAACACGGAACAGCCTTCCGCGAGCTGAGGTCAAAGGTTATTTAATATTGTTATCAAGATCAAAAATGGCGACTGCGTCGGAGCAGTTCGAAGCTGCCGTGAAAGTCGTGCAGAGCATGCCAAAAGATGGTAAGATTCCAAAAATAAGCCCATGTAGACAAATTCTGTATTTCATAGAAATCTGTGTGTGGAAATTAGGGATTTACATTGGGAAAGATGAGAGACATTGGCGTGGTGAATGTTGGCCCACTTTCCGGACAATGACACTTGACAGTGATGCTATGCCATGGCTATGAAACGTAGGGCCTAATTCTAGTCCCCCCCCCCCAAAAAAAAAGACACCCCCCCCCCAAGGTAAAAATGAAAAAAAAAACGGTAATCCTTACTTTTAGGACCCGTTCCTCTATAGGAAGGGAAAGACTCACCGAAACAGTTGACTAAATGACACTCAAAATTGACATTCTGATACTTCTTGGCACATCTGAACAATGGGCAATGACACCTTCTTGACTTCTAAAGACTGCTTTAGCCTGCAAAAGTCATTTTGGTACTGGACAGACATCTGCAAAAGTCAGTTTTGAACAGAACTCGTAAAAAATAGAGGTGTCCTAAAAGTAAGGATTACCAAAAAACCAGTGAAAATGAGATGAGACTTGAGAGAAAAATAAGTTATACTCATTTTAAGGGCTAGGCCTGTCTCTTCCATGTCCATGACCATGACCTAGCCCGACTGCGTCTGGCCGTACAGTACTATCGCAAGCTCTGTAGTACGGCCAGACGCTGAATGCTTCCAAAAAGACTGAATTTTTGTGGCCGCCGATGTAGCGATTTTGACGTACGATGTATCTGTGACGTACGACCTCGTGTTTTTGGACGTGCGTGCGGCGGGGCCGTACGTCCAAAAACACGAGGTCATACGTCACAGACTGTTTATGCATATTCATGAGTTTGCGCGGGCGCGCCTGCATATTGCATACATTACAGCGTGGCCGCCATTTTGAAATCGCACGGGGATCGCATGGGGGACGATATTTGTGGAATCTGATGACTGAAATTCGTCTTGTGGCCAGATAGATGAAAATATTGAGACCAAACAACGTTTTTTTCGAAAAGGTATGAGTTGCTCTACGACTACAAACCTTAACTTTGGAAATTTGTGTCCTGGATGAAAAGATAATTGCGATCGAAAGATGTAGCAAAATCGCTACATCGGCGGCCAAAAAAATTCAGTCTTTTTGGAAGCATTCAGCGTCTGGCCGTACTACAGAGCTTGCGATAGTACTGTACGGCCAGACGCAGTCGGGCTAACCATGACCATGTCTTCTACAAGTACAACTTACAAGTACAAATGAATTTTTCAATTAAATTTATGAAAAGTTTAATTAAATTTAATTTGTTTAAATATGCTTGAAGATGTTCCGCATTTTTCCTGTTCTTAAGCCGGCAGATCGTATAGCGCCCTCGTGCATGTGTATACATTACAAGTAGGCCTATGTGGAGAATGCCCCCATACATGACATTGTATGCCTATCATCAAAAACAAAATCATATACTCACTAGGCTTGGGAAAACTGAAAAACATATGAGGAAAAATGTGGTTTTTTTTATCACATTTTGGGTGCACAGTGCACACATCGTTAGGACAGCCGATCGTGTAGGCAGCCATATTGAAGAGACTGGGAAATCAAGTTCGAAATTGCATTAGTTCTGATTCCCATCTCGCGAATATGCAGTCAAAAAGTATTCGTCCCAGTAAGAATTTCAAAGTCCCAAAAAACAGGCACTGTGTTATTGTACACTGCAATACCGAAAATATTTGAGGACCGGTTCACGGTCAAATATCACCCGCCTTAATTTTATGTGAAAACCCCACAAAGTTTCTTAGTTTGTTTATGACTAACATTAGGCCAAAAAAAAAAAGTCTCTGGTTTCTGGTATGCGCGCGCGTCGCCGTAGCCATGCGCGTTGGCAAAATTAAAACATTTTTTTTTCAATGAAAGATGATGTCTCAAAACTGCCAAACTCACTGGTTTGACTGGAATCCTGCTGCTGCACAATTTTAACGTGTTTTTAGATTGAGTTATGGTCGAGAATAAGCTTTATGTGGCCTCTCTGGACTCCCATATATTTGCACTAAGTTTAGTTGGGCACCATTTGCAGTCATCAGCTGACATTTGAAGCAAAAAAATCAGGTAAAAAAAAAAAAAAGCCGCGTCGCCGCACCACTTTTTGGGCAAGCTCCATACCAGAAACCGGAGACTTTTTTTTTTGGCCTTAGTGGTAATGTGAGGTCCTGAGAAAAAAAAGGAGTAGGCCTAAATTTTGATATGTTTTATATAATTAATGATGCATACTTTTTGGTTCACAGTGTACACTGTGTGAAGAAGACCACAATAATTGATTCCTTTTGTTAATTTCAGGGCCATTCCAGCCATCATACGAAATGAAGAAGCGGTTCTATGGGCTATACAAGCAAGCAACGCAAGGGCCCTGCACTGAGCCCAAACCGGCTTTCTGGGAAGCTATTAGAAAAGCCAAATGGTAGGTTGATTCCGAGGATTCCGAGGTCTCATGTAGGAAGAACATGGCTGAACCCTCATTAAGAAAGAAAGGGGGCTATGCAGAAAAAGGTTGAGTCCATGAAAGGAACAGAAAAAAATGATATAGGCCTACATTGTGAAATGGAGAAAATGCACAAACTGGAAAGGAAAAATTGGGTTAACAAAACTAATTTAGAGCTGTCTCATCCAAGTTTGAAATTTGTTCACAAACTTTAACACAGATTTATTTTTATTTAGCTAATTAATTCTTATTTCAGTATTAGTGAAGACAATGTAAAGAAATTTCAGTTTTAGACATAGGAGGAAAACCCCAGGAGAATATTCTGAGGAAAACCCACGGAATCAGGCAGGGACTGAAAACCCAATCCACATAATGGCCCAGGCAGGAATCGAACCTGGGTCACAGCGGTGGAAGGCGAGGAAAGTACCGCTACACCAACCTGACTCCCCCATTCCTTCCCGCAAATTCCTTTAATTCTACGCTAGTTTTCATCCATGAATCATTAAGACCTAACGGTATCAAGGGTACGCTGTTGTTTCCTTCTTTATTGACTAGGGATGCTTGGAATCGACTTGGCAACATGCCAAAAGAGGAAGCCATGGATGGCTATGTCAAAGATCTTCTCAAGGTTTGTACAATTGATGATAAAAAATACTCCTTTTTTTGTTTCATTGTGATGCATGTAGTAAAAAAAAAAGACCAGCGATTGGGCTGTTTGTAAACTCCCATATCAAGCACTCTTTTCTTTTGTGGTGTTAGTAGCATCTTTATTTCATGCAAAAGATACAATCTTTTATCATACACATGTCCACTTTGTAGTGAGTAGAAATCAAATGTAATTGTGCCACAACGTAGTGCAAAGGATTTCAGCATTCTGTCTTGAACATGAAGATCAGCTTACGCACTTTTTGACCTGACTAGAATTGCCTGCAAGTTTTTAATGCAGAGCAGATTGTTGACTATAAATTTTTCCAAACACACGCTCTTAATTAGAATTGAAAAGTGAAGAAATTGAAAGAACCTATTCGAATACCATACAGAATTTTCTGAATGTGAACAAGATATAAAGGCCTACATAGGAGGGCTACCTGCCTCGATTGGAAAGCATGGCACTTTATGAAGAACCATTTTTCTACTTTTTTTTCTATATTGGCATTTCTAAATGCTCAAAAGAAAAACGACAAATCATGTACTAAAGAGCTGCATTGAAATGGTCTATCTGGTGGATTAAAAAAAAAAAGGTTCATAAGGCCAAAAAAAAAAAGTCTCCGGTTTCTGGTATGCGCGCGCGTCGCCGTAGCCATGCGCGTTGGCAAAATTAAAACATTTTTTTTTCAATGAAAGATGATGTCTCAAAACCGCCAAACTCACTGGTTGGACTGGAATTCTGCTGCTGCGAAATTTCAACGTGTTTTTAGATGGGGTTATGATCGAGAATAAGCTTTATGTGGCCTCTCTGGACTCCCATATATTTGCACTAAGTTTAGTCGGGCACCATTTGCAGTCATCAGCCGACATTTAAAGCAAAAAAATCGGGTAAAAAAAAAAAAAAGCCGCGTCGCCGCACCACTTTTTGGACAAGCTCCATACCAGAAACCGGAGACTTTTTTTTTTGGCCTTAAGTGGACTTAATGCTTTACAAAAGGTATCAGAATTTTTTTTTAAAAAAGCGCATGCCCAGTACTACTTCAAAACACCATCTAGTTTTTTTCTTCATCAGAAATAAAAGTCCTGCGTGTTTTTTTTTTCATGTAAATGTTTGTAGGCTATGATGAAAAACAAGGACAAAGACCCAGCTGAAGTACAGAATGTGAGTGTCTTTGTCAATCTCTTTCACTGTCATTGCACTATCTACACGTATTTCATTTCGCTGTAGCCTTTCTACATTTCCGAGGAATGCCAAGCTTTTCCTTTGATAATTAAGCAAGCTTCTTCCAAAACACCCACACATACATGTAGTCTTTGCTGATCGAGCATTCTTTAAACAAGTGTGGAAGGCCTTGTGCAGACACGTTTGCTTTTCAGGCATGCTTTTCTTGGCATTCCATCTTATTTCTGGTTTAGTGGAGTCAAATCTGAGAACTCTAAAATATCCCCGATCTCCGTTTGTATCCGTTTTTCACTGCAGTGCCCTGCAGAATTTAAGGAATGGTACAGTTTGTGCAAGATTGTGGCCTAGCGGTTAGGGTTCGTGACTCATGATCAGAGAGTCAGGGGTTCGAATCCAGCTGCTGGCCATATGTTGTGTCCTTGGGCAAGCCACCTCACCCTCACTAGCCTCTCACATCCCAGCAGTGTAAACGGGTACTGGCATTAGCCGGGGAGTAACCTGCGATGGACTGGCATCCCATTCAGGGGGAATACAAAATATTCTCAGTCATTTCATGTTACTGAAACCGGAGAAGAACACCGGGCTGATGGGCCACATTGGCTCGTGACAAACTTTCCTCTTTTTTCTTTCTGTTTGTGCTATGCTGTATCATCTGTTTCACAATTTTCCCTTAGCATCGTGTACTCTGCTCTCTCGAGTGTCTTTGGTGACCTCTTATTTGTATTTTACCAACTGACACTCCAATAACAGAGTAGACAGTGCTAGTCCCATTGTAGATTTGGTGTATGTGTTGTTTAATAGTGTAAACTGAAATGTCAATAAATGTGTATCTTCATCAACATTGTTTTGTTGCTACGTTCATTTTGTTCATGGTCAGTATGTTGAGTATATTCACACTTTTCAGTGAGGACAGCCACAAAGGAATTGAATAGAGCCAAAAAGACCAGAATTGCATGTTGTGCTCATTTGGAAACCAAGTATACAAATCAAATGAGAGGAGATGAGTCATTCTATAAATTTGGGGTCCAAAGTGTGACATTGTTCCCGTCCCTGTTACATTGTACCTTGGTACTTTGTAATTTGCCATTCAAGCATCATTAAAAGTGACTTCAAATGACTGTTTATTTGTTGGGTAGGTGGTTTGCTATTCATAATCACTCTTGGAGGATGACTGCATTAAGGAGTGCATCAGAATTACACAATCATAGATGTCAGATGTAACAGGGACGGGGAAAAAGTGAACCCCAAATTTATAGAATGTCCCAGTTGCAGAATGTTGGATGATATTTTGTGCATTCCATCCAACCTGAGCCTCACACCCTAATGCCTTTTTCATTCAAGAACTGTGCCTGCCAGTGGTACATGCAAATAAACTATTTGCTTGTCGTAAATGTTCTCCACAGATTTTAAAAGTAACAAATTATTTCAGAGTTTTGTGGGTCATGCCTTGAACAGAATGAGAACAGAGTGTGATCAGTTTGTGTACTATTTTTATGTGTATTCTTGGTGTGTTTTGTTCTCAGATCGTAGAGACAATGCCAATCACGGAGGAGGTCAGTGCTTTCTTGAAGGCCATGGGTCCGTTCTTCGAGGCCGTCCATGAACCACTCCCAGTCCCAGAGGAGGAGAGGTGGAGATTCTACGACGAACCGCCCCCTGACAATGCCCCGCCCACTAATGGCCTCCCACATCACCAGGAGAATGGGCCCGTCAATGGAGACGTACACTCAGGTAATGCAGTCCCCGTATGAACAGTAAATGGTGCTTTGTCAACACATGGGAAAGCTCCACCTGTGCGAGACACATATGCATGGTTCGTAGGCATGGCACAAAGTATGCACTTTTGATTTCATTCTGAAGTGTGCAAACACAAAGCGTCTGCCTAACTGTCTGTTCGTCATCGTTGAGGGGTTATTTTTGTGAGGATTTCATATGTTGCAGCATCAGTTGGCCTAGTTGTACAATTTAAACATAGCAGTGTTTCATAAAGCAACTGTTCATCTCCTGTTGACCCTAACCTTCCCACATCCTCCCAAATCCTCCTTACAAATGGAGAATTTTGCAGAATTGAGGCTGTATGGCAAAAATGTGTGTTTCAAGGTCAATTAGGCCGGACCTTGTGTTGCTTATGCTGAGCCGTGCATACATTTGGTCCTAGATTATACTTAAAATCCTCTGCACTGCTCCAGGATGTCACTGACTCTGCCACAACATACATGTATGAACAGTGATTGCTGGAGGATTTTGCAGGATTGAGGCAGTGGGCACCCCTCCAAGGACCACTTTCAAGAAATGAGGGATGTTTTTTGTAGGATTGAGGCTGTATGCTTTTTTAACATGGAGGCAATTTGAAGATTTTGCAGGATTGAGGTTGCATCCTAGTAAAAATGCCTAGGAAGTTAGGGTTAATCAATCACTTTTGCCTGTGCAATGTATTATTGGTTATATCGCAAAATACAACTGTTTTGTGCTGGAGGGTCACATACAGTCGTCTCAAAATGTAAGCTATCGCAAAGCAGTAAATATAACATTCCTTTTGTTCATTGTGTGTGAATGTTTGTAATGTCATTCATCATCTACAGATGCCGGACATGATTTGAATGACAGCAGTCTGGTTAACCACACCGGTCAAGTTGATGGAGTAAACACCATTCTTGTGACTCCAACATTGCACAAAGGTCACAACAACATCGGACCAAATGGAGGTAAAGGCTTAGGATCCTAATTAGGATTTAGTGGATGTGGCTTTGGTTTAGCTATTGATATCACTCTGTGAAAGCCACAGCCGTAACCTACTCTGACATGACCTCATAATCTAGTAGCTTTACGTGTATGTGTCCTCAAGACCAGGGCCCAATTTCATAGTGCTGCTCAACAGCCGATTTTGTGCGAACCTCCATCTATTTCATGGAGACTGTTTTTGGTAGTAAGCACAGCAAAAGCACACTTAGCCCCAGAGGAAAAAATTGCTTAAATCAGTGACGTCATAGTAGAAATCTCCATGCGTGCGCAACCATTAACACATCCACGAAATGAAATAGTGCTTAGCAGCAGCGTGATTTTCTGCTATAGTAAGCACAACTTTTCTACTAACTGTTAAGCAGCGCTATGAAATTGGGCCCAGCATTTTCAGAGTGCAAAATCTGAACTCAGTGTTGGTTTTATACCATTCCATGTTTAAATAGTAATGAATCATGAGGTTTAAGTGTTCAAGAACATTTACAAACATAGAGTAATAGCCTTAGTAATAAATACAAGCAAGTAACTAACAGTGTAATCCCGTTTTGCAATTTTGAAATCAGATGCCTATCAGGACGAGAGCCATCCATTCGCCAGTGATGTCAGTGGTAATTTGACCGCTGACCTGTCCCTCGATCAGTCTGGCGCCGTCGTGGCTGACAGAAGCAGTGGTACAAGCAATGACGTCACGGTGACAAGTGACAGTGACACAGACAGTGAGGAGGACTTCTGCGACTCTATGGACCAGCCAGACCTGGATCAGGTGAGGTCATGTGACTCTATTGGGTCTGTGTATGTACCGACGAGGGCATTTTTTGGCCCATTCACCAGAGCCAAGTGGCAATCGTTTGAAGCAACAAAAGAAAACTTGCTGAGTCGTGTTTTGAATTGAGCACGAATTCAGCATCCGGGACACTTTCTCATTCAGCCAATAGCAGCTACGCGATGTTGCGCACTGAACCGACGAATTATAGCAACCGCGCAGGCTGTGCGTTGTGTCAAACGCTTGCACGCACTTCGCCGAATTAAAAACGAACTACTAAGGAAAATTTCCAAAAATGCGTATAAAAACGCATCGTTTGAAAGGCCTTCTTTCATTGTTTTCTTCAAAATAACCGCATGCCAGAACGAATAATTTCACAGGGAATTTAGTCCAATTACTATCTTTAAATCAAGTATGCTTTTCAACAATAATTTTGTCAGCTCCTTTTTGGATAGCTGCAAATAATGGACTGTACCTTTAAAACCTATTTTCATCTCGTTGGATTAGTCATTTGACTGCTCATTTACGTTTACTCAAGACAGCCTAAAGTTTAATTGCCATTTTCTCAAAATTACTTTTACAACTTCAATTTAGTTGGCGGTCTATATTTCCGTTACTGAAGTCAGCACCCCCAAATGTTAGGTATACCAGTAGAAAAGCTCTTCTGCAGAATCCAGAAATAAAATTATCTCAATTCTTAAAAAGTCAGACTTAAAGCCAGAGTCCATCATTTGCAGCTATCCCAAAAGTAACTGGCGTAATTATTGTTGAAAAACATACTTGGTTGAAAGATAGTAAGGGGACTGAACTCCCTGTGAAATTATTCTTTCTGGCAAGCTGTCATTTTGAAGAAATCAACGAGAGAAGGCCTTTCCAACGGTGCGTCTTAAGAAGAACCGTTGGAAATTTCCGTTAGTAGTTAGTTTTTTTATTCGATGAAGCGCGCGCAAGCGTTGACACGACGCACACGCGCGCGCAGTTGCTATAATTCGTCGGATCGGTGCGTGACATCGCGTAGCTGCAATCGGCTCAGTGAAAACGTGTCTCGGACGCTGAATTCAGGCCCAATTCAAAACATGATTCAGCAACTTTTGATTTGAAATTGAGTTCCTAGAATGTTGTTTTTTTCGGAATATACAGCTGAAGCTGAACTGAAACTTCATCAGGTTAGTTGTTCAGCACCCTGTTTTAGATTTTGAGCACTTTTGTCGCTTCAAACGAACAAAATGCACAAATTACAAATGATGGACTATACCTTTAATGCTCATTTTGTGGTGACAGGTTGCAAATGTGTAAATGGTCGTTTTGGCACATTTCATGAATGGCTCCAACTTTTATTCAACTTTGATTTCGGTCAATTCAATATCCTCTCAGTTGCCAGAACTTGTGAAAGCCTCGGCAGTCGAGGAACCCCTCCAGCCAATCAGAGAAGAGCAGGTTCTCATGACCTCTACCCCGCAGGGCAAGAAAATCCTGGCCCAGGCTGAGGTCCATCCTGTCAAAGGTCATTACCATGAGAACGGACATGGCCAGGCCGTTGACGGCACAGAGGGGGTGGAGAATGGAGACACGCCCATATCCAGGAGGAGGGGAGGTGGTGAAGTGGTACCAGGGGGCAAAGGTCAAGCTGGCAGAGGTCAAGGGTCGGACCAAGGTGACTTGAGAGGCTCTATGGGTGGAGGAAGAGGTGAGAACAAGAATATATTGCAAGGGACAATTAAATGGTGATTTTACCTTGGTCCATTTTAAAGAAACTACAAGCACAGTGAGGAGCAGGTTTTAAATACATTCATAATATCAGAAATATCTATTAAAGGGAATATGCAACATGTGCAAACATCAACAGAAAAATAGCTACCAAATTATTATGAAACACCTTACTAGGCTGTTAGTGAATGACAGTCTCAAGCATCCTGTAAAATCATGGCACCTGGTGTGCTGTCATTTTTAAGAAAAGTGGTATTTTTGTATCAATTTCCAACGCTGGTTGGCCGACCGGCGTTGGAAAAAACTTGCTTTTTTTCAAACACTGCCCCCAGTTAACCATATTTATTTAGTCTGCATTTTATTTACGGGGACTGGTTCCCTGACCTTACTGTTCTCTGACGTCTATAAATTGCTACGTTTCATCTTAAGTAGGGTCAGACTACTGGAACATGATTGTTTTTCTTGGTTTTCCAGCATCTTTAAACACAAAACTTTATAAACAAGTCAGTGTAACAATACTTGCTATTAAATGCTAACCCCCCTCAATCCATCCATCTCTGAAAATTACAGCAAAAGCAAATGTTGTATATTCCCTTTAACTTGTAATGGGCATTAAGCCTCAAGTAAAGTTGTAGTAGCTGGGCTGTACCTTCCCTAAACCTTCCAATCATTCAAAACCCATCCAGGCAGATTTTGAAGGAGCTGGGAGGGTAATGTGACCTTACCATTTTCGATCTCTTTTCCCCCAGGTCAAGGGCAAGACACTCCTGGGCGTGGCAGGACCCCATCCAGCGGTCAGGGCGGACCCCCTGGAGGGAGGGATCCTAGCAGTAGACCAGGCCGCAATCCACCGGTAGATATTAGCGAGCAGATAGCTATTGCCCTGCAGAGACTACAGTGTGATATGAGTAGCGTGCTGGCAAGGTTGAACACGCTGGAGGCACTGGCGCTGTCCCAGGCACAACAGGTTGGTTTGGAGATCTAAGAGTTTTAAGTTGAATTAGACAGTACAAAAACTAACCAAAAAAATATGCATTTGTGGACATTATTAAACGTCTATTTGTAAGGCCAACTTCAAGACTTAGAGAGTTTGAGCAGGCAAAATTCCCCTCCCCACCCTTGGTACAAGTCTGATATTTTCACCCTTGCCATGGAGTGTCATGGCCGAGCGATTAAGAGCACCGGACTCTAGCTCTGGTGTTTCTGATCAGCATAGTGGGTTCGAGTCCCGGTCTTGACACTTGTGTCCTTAAGCAAGACACTTAACCATTATTGCTTCGTCCTTCGGATGGGCCGTAGGTCCCGTGCGTTGTGTAATGCTCGTAAGAGAAGGGGTTTGCCCTGGTGTTCCTGGCAGTGGCTGCTTAAGGTGCCGTAGCACCTTTTAAGGTTCTACATAAAATGGGTCTCATATTTCAAATACTTCATTCACCTGTCTTTAAAATAAATTTATATTAATTAGCGCCTTGAATACCTAATTGTTGGTAGATGCATGTGCTATGTAAGACTCTGGTATTGTTATTATTGTTATCTAGTGACACTCTGATCCTTCCATGTATCATGTCTAGAACCAATCAGAGAGGCAGTCCTCAGAGCGTCGCGGCCAGGAATCATCCCCTCCTCGCCAACGCTCCTGGTTGTCGTGGATCTTCCCTCGTAACCTCCCGGCTAAGACTGTCTTCTTTCTTCTCATCTGGCCGTTAATTGTCAACGTGCTCCTAGCCATGTGGAGACGTAGACGTCATAGACATCTCAGACGATGACCGCAAGACAACATCCTCGGTTCCATGGGGGGAGGGGGGTAGGGGAGTCAGTATTCTTCAGCAGTGGGGGTTTGCACGATCCAAACTTCTCCAATTTCAGCTTCAGGCTTCAGCTGTATCACAAACAGACTCCTGTACAACACTTGTACAGGTTTTGCTATAAAGATGCCAAATTCTGTCACACACGAGCAAGATGGAGGATTTTCATTGGGTTTGAATTTGACAGGGTTCTTATAAATCTGGCACTGGAGATGACGCTGAGCCTGGGTTTCGTACACCTTGTGCGTTGGCATCAAAAGAATTGTTCTTGTAAAGACCTGCCTTCCCTGGTACGTATTTCACAATGCGGATCGTTGTTTGCTGTTAATGCCGGTATTCGATTTCCATCAAAGTGATGACCCAAGTGAATTCAAGAAGCTGTAATCGAATGAAGTATGAAAGTAATCGAATGAATGTGAAGCTGTTGAAAAACAGAAGGTTTTAGATTGTGATTGCAAACGTGTGTTGTGCTTACATGGCAGTGTCCCCACTGCACCACGTTGGATGATGAAAAATTATAACAACTCAAAAATGGTGTAATTTCAGCAATATGAATTTCAGCCGTCTAAATTCTATTTCAAAAGTAAAAGAGAGAAATCCTTCACCCAAAAAATTGCCAAAACTTTGCAGGTAAAATTCCCATTCATTTATGGTTTTTTTGTATAAAACTCTAAATTCTGAAATGGGACAGTATCAATTCGTGCTTTATTTACTTGAGAGGATTAGGCACTCTAGAGGCAGCAACACAGTAGTTTTTAGGACCTTCTGGTAATGTAATACTATACACACGTGATTCATGGATGCATTCAATTCCTCCTCCTGAAATGAAAGTTAATTCATAAATACCTAAGACAGTTTACCCATTTCTATTGGTCTAGAGCCCGTCACGTGGGTGGTTTTAAACGGTTGATAGAACACCGGCTAGCTGGTTTTAAACACTTTTCCGGTTTCACATGAAATTTTGACTCCTATGACATCTGGTCCCTTTTACCCTTTTATTGGTTGAACGTTCACAATATTCACTTAAAGCATGAGCAATACTACCAATGAGTCCGTATTTTGAGAGTCCTCAATTCACACTACACCAGCACCGCCGCGTTCTGGGCCACATCGGGCAGTACGCGCCACATGCGCCAATCTCCACATAAGATGTTTACCACTACTAGCGACAGGCACATACCATATCATAGCTAGAGGGATGTTTTAAAAATATGAAGTAGACTTGTTGAGCAAAGTGGTTGGAAATTTATAATTGTTGACATGTTTTGACTTTTGGACTCTAAGGTATTTATGAGGACTAAATATGTGATTAAGACCGGCTCAGGGGCCTGGTGGCCGATAATGACCAGAGCCGAATATCAGCATCCAGTCCCCTGAGCCGGTCTTAAACGCACTTGTTTGTAACCGTCCAAGCAAATATTTATTCCCTAATTGAATGGAGAATGTGCACTTGTGCAGACTAGCAAATAGTCAGGTGGCCCTCTGATGTTGCATTGCTTGTCACTGAAGGTGCATTGTCAGGTAGTGCATATTACGGGATATCAGCTCTTATCCAATCCTCTGAAATCTGGTAAGATTCACTGTTTGTTTTCATGTTCAATTCTCAATTTCCTAATACTGTACATATAGATTCAATCGCATCAATAAAAATGAGACTTTAATATATTCCTTTCGGTGAATACTAGTATAATTTAGTCATTTTATTTTCATAATGCAAAGAAAAATCCTGACATAGGGCAGCTGATTTATCATCCGCATCCTGTGATAATTTTTGACTCACAAGCACGAAATGTAAAGTGGAAGACTTTTTAAAAAAAAGGAGTTAAATTTAAGATTGGTTTCATATTACCGACATTATGGGTAATAACTTACTCAGGTACCCTTCCTTTTCATTTACCGGCTTCAGCTTTTTTTTTTTTTTTTTACAAATATGTTTTTTTGGTTTTTTTTACAAACATGTTGTTTAATGCTTACCTTGGATTAAAATCTCGCTTCCAGTTCTATGTTTTTCCCATTGTAGCAGATGAAGCATAGATTGAGTTGATTTTGTGCAATATTCATGATTCATTATGGAACCAATTTAATGTCCAAAAGCTGTTCCGCAAATGTGTGTTTATGAAAATCTTGAGAGTTACCGTTCTTTTATGTGAACAAACAAAGCAGGTTTTTTTTTCATTAATTTTGGTGTCCCATTTGTTAATAAGCCTCTGTACTGATGACAACACACTTTGTTTTACATGTGTGCTTTTCTATGGGGCTACAAAACCGTCGTCCCCACCAGGCTCCCATAAGAAAGCACACAAGTGAACAAAATGTGACGTCATCAGTACAGAGGCTTACTGAAAACATTTTGCGAGCATCCCAATGTAAATTTCTAAAATTATTGTGTACAGTGGACAGAATTGAATATGTACATAATTCTGTTTAATTTCAATAAAACATAACATTTTGTTAATGATAATGTTGCGTGGAGTTGTTTTGTTCGCAAAGTTACGCCTGTCCAATCTGTAAAACAAGAATATCCACTTTCTTCTCATTCCCAAGTCTCTTTTGTATGAAATTCATCCAAATTTGTTAGTGTGACGTCATCTCAACTTAACCAGGCGTACTTCACAAGGTGTAGCATAGCACCAATGAAACCAGAAGTTAAAGGAACTGGAGTGTTTAGCCAATGGGCGCTTTTAATCAGTGGTGCGTGCGCGTGTATTGCGAAGTCACTAACGAACAGGATACACAAACACTGTGATATCCAGTTTGTCTATGGTTTAACTTTTTTGGAGGGAATTCAAATCTATTAATCATAACGATTGATCGATCTGTTCATCAACTAACCCATGAGCAATCAATCGCACCAATCAATCAAAAATTAATACAATTGAACAACTCAAAAAAAGCAATTCAAAGTTGATCGTTTTTCTTCTGATGAATTATTTATTTTTAATACTCAAAACAATTGTTCACAAACATCGAACTACAGTACTACTGGACTGACACATTACAATTAAAAATTATCCTCAAAAAAGTCAGAGAAATAGCTCAAAACTACTCACAAGCTATCGTCTCACGTTTTGTTAACATCAATTTCATGTACAGCTCTCACAAATAATGGTTTAAGGTTGAAGATTTACATTGTCTCCCTGAAATTACGTACAGTTATTTGCAATGTGGCTCACATTAAACAAACAAATGGTCCTCTTTTACTTGAAAATACGCCACTGACAATTGGGACTTTGGTTTTACCAATAAAACTGAGTTGGCAGATCTAGAGAACGTAACACCTTTCCTATAAAATGTTATCGCAAAATCTAGATCCTAAGGAAAAAAAAAAATGTTTTCGAGATTTGCAGAAATTCCCTAACATAAAACCCTGTTTAAAGATTGAAACAGCTACAAAAAACAAAAACAAACAAATAATATCTGCTTATTCAGACTAAGTTCATCGCCTGACCAGGTCTTGTATTTAACTAAATGTAGCACACAGATTTCAAGTAAAATACCTTTTCAACTTTTATACAAATGCAGAATCAGTTATTTTGGATGATTGTAACACCATCGTGCTGCGGCGTCAATAAATATTTTCAACGAGTTTAATAAATAGACAGGCAAGACATTACAAACATTGCTAGGGCTGCAAAGGCTTGACTAATTTCTGAAGCACGTGCGATTAATGCTGGTGGGAGAAATACTGCATGAAAAGAGAAATAATCAATCAATTGATCAGTTGAAATACATCAATAAAAAAAATCAATACCAGAACTCGGTAATTTTTAATTCCTCATGTTACAGCAAGCTTTGTTTTTGGGGGGGGGGTATTTTACAGAACTGATTACAATTGATTCCTAATTATTGATTACAGTCAGTGACCTGCTGCATAACTGATTTTTTTTTCTAACAAAAACTTGACCGTCTCCTTATTGCTGTCTTTGTTGCAATTAATCCTGATATATGCCAACCAGCACAATAAACTAACACTTACACTACTTCTTCTTTTCCTCAACCAATGTACCAACACTAATCCTTCCATGTAAACTAAGATCGACTTGTGTCTGTCAAGACCTTTTTTTTTATTGTATTAATTTTTTTCTGAACAGATTTGTTTTCTTCATCTAGGACTAGTAGCTAGTCTACAGTTCATAAACACACTTGACTTCAATCAAGTCTCCAAGCCCAAACTGCACTGAATATCAGCACTTTATGTTAACATTAGGCTCACTTTCACAAAATCCCTTGTTCTAGCCCCACCTGTCGTTGATGGGTTTTGTGGGGCTCGATAAAATTCACTCCATGTATCAGCTTCTAAAATTGGTTAGCTTGAAAGCATACATTTCCATCCCATGATTCCGTAGTTGTGAAATGCAAACGTTGAATGGTTACAAGCAGACGGTAAAAACAAAGAATATCTGCTAGACTAGGAATTATACTTGTCACAGACAACTTACAAAAGTGGTCATCTTGTAACATCTTCAACAAAATATTTGTGGTAGAACGTTTCCATGATAATCCCATGTTTCTCAATCTGCAAACAGAATACATTCTTCCACTTTTCCTTTTTCTCTCATTTTGTTAACCTCAGCTAACCTTCTATTGCTGTGTTTTACTAAAAGCAATATCTGCAGCAACAGCTAGCTTAAAAGGTGCGTTTTCTTTATAAACCTATACACAGGAATGCAGTGCACAATACAACTTCCTCTAAGACTGAACAAAAAAATGACAAGAAAATACTGAGCTAATGTGCCAAGTGCATTAATGCCATCGACCAGACACAGGTCTTGGTAGCAAATTGCAACAAATTTTGTCAACAGAAATTGCTCTATGACAAGCTTATATATATATATATACAAGAAGTGAATTATGTCAATCTACATTCGGTAGGTCAGGCACAGTTCTTTCAGATCAATACGGCTCCATCCTTTCCTCGCAAAAAAAACCCAACTAATTTTAGTCATCATTTGGACATTTATTCTTCATGTCGATCAAAGTTAAAGAAATAATTAATTCCAATGAAGCATTGATAAATAAGCTAACCCCCCCCCCCAAAAAAGATATCATTCATTCGCTATTTGACAGAATAAGCAAATTTAAAAATTAAAGGCATCCCAGATCACAGCTCCAGAAGATTTGATTCTGAGCTGACATTACAGATGAATGCAGGCACATAATTACTGCATACTTACGGAGGCCCCCCTTAATGGCGTTAGCATTGTGCTATTGTACAGAGTAACTGTTCAATGACAGTTATCATGGACAATAGCTAGCACAATGCTTCTGCCATTGCAGGGAGCCTCCGTGATAGAAGTAATAGTGTGTACCTGGGCCCAATTTCAGGGCGCCCCTAACCACAGAATTCCGTGCTTACGATCACCACTTTGTGCTAACCGCGCTAGCAGAAAAAAATTCTGTGCTAACGCTGTAAGCACAGAATCCTTAGTTACGTGATATACGCATGCACAGACACCAAAATTCCAAGCTAACCCGTGAAATACCCTTACTGTAAGCAAAGAATTTTCTGCTACAGTAAGCAAGGATTTTTTGCTAATAGTGAGCAGAGCCAAGAAATTGGGCCCAGGATCGATCTATATCAGCTTGCCGTAAGCAAAGCTGAAAACGTCTCATCAAACCTGGTCAACCAAGAATTGTACCTTAGACTGACATTAACCTTTGAGAAATCCATAAATGGTATGAGGAGCAGTACCAAGGAATTCTTTCCATCTAGATTCTGAACTGATTTTTTGTATAAATACCTAAGATCAGAAAAAAGAGCACAAGTTTATCAAAAATATATAAAATCTCAAGCAGTTCCAACTCTGCAAAGCATAATTACTTTTAGGCATTTTGTCTCCTTTTTTTTTTTGTCAATCGTTTCTTGTTTTTGTTTTATGTACTATACTAAAATGCCGTCACTACTAGTTATTTCAATAAATATCAAAGACCACAATCACTGTGTCGGACAAGCATGATAACTAATATAAAACATGCCTGCACAAATCAATTTTGAACACAGACAAAGGGCTTGGTAAACAATAGGATACCTTATTCCCCCCCCCCCTGCCCAATTAAGCAACTTAAAAATCACAGATTTACAATTTTGCAAGACAACTTTACAAAGGAACATTTTGGACCTTCAACAGATCACTTTTCATCTGCTTTGCGATTTGCATTCTTTCTGTTCTTTTCTTCTTCAAATTTCATGAATACAGGGACAAATCTTGATAATTCTTCCACTGATTGGCATCTTTCGGTACTGCTGAAACTGAAGGGCGACAGAGAAAAGCCTCAAATAGTATGACTGTTTTTCCCAAGCGCAAGCAGAAAAAGAGAAAATGTACATTTATTTTTTTTTCATTTATGAATACTGATTCCAGACACAAAGATACACAAAGACACAGACCGAGCGACTGACTACATACAGCAGACTGCTTCTACAATACAGCACTAGTTGCATCTGACTATCCTGACTCTATCTTACAATAAATCTCAACTCTCCTTTTTATCTTATTGCTTTCAAATCGTTTCTCTCTGCACATTCCATTCTTGATCCTGAAACCTTTTCAATCTTTTTATCTTTCAACTAGGGTTCACGTCACACAGTTGTATGTTGTCTCTTAAAAGTGATTCCAACGATTCAATGCAGATATTTTTTCGAAATTGAAATTTAGAGATGACCTAAATGACATGCTGCCTTTTTGTTTAAGGAGGTGGACACATTTATATTTTCAAAGTCTAGATTCACCATCACACATAATATTTACGTCTTCTCCTTCCAGCCTGATTCATTTCTGAATCGATTTCTTTTAACAAAAAAATTTCCAAAAAGTCCTCGCATTAATTAACTGCAAACTGTCAAACGTAGACTGCTTCTCAATCAAAAATGGAAAAAAACAAAGTAATATCATGATGTGATTGACTACCAAAACGATGTCAAATGGAGCAAAGAACAAAATAATTATATGCCGTTGTGATTCATATGGTTGTGCCACTGACAAGCACACAAGCTTAGATGCATGCTTCTGCTTTTCAGTCATGAGGTGTTGGGATGAGTTTGAGCATTCGATTAGCCCAGCTCTCGTGGCTAAACCGTCTGCCTTTACCCGAGTCGATCCGGGTGAGCTACTCGAACGCAGCCACTGTTACCCACCTTTTACATCTATCATGAAAGTCACATGACAGTCATTTGACACCTCAGCTGGAAATGTACGTTAACCACACAAAATATCTTTGTATTCATAAAGCCCACAATAAAACATCATAACAGAACGCAACAGATATGAATCGGTTGCAAATACTGAATACATTGAATACACTCAAGCTGACAACAACAATCAAGCTCATTCCAATTTCCTTTCAAAGAAAAAAAAATCGCACTTCATCATATCCCACCTTTAAACTGAAGAAATAATGACCTCCTTTTTTTTGGTTGTACACAATTTTCTTAAAGGTTTTCATGAATATCACTTTAAACGTACTTAAATCTCTACAAAAGGTTACTTTTTGGTTTTGAGAGTAATTTTCTACCCAAAGTAGCACACATAAGGCTGTTCATTCTTTTCTAATATAATAAAAGAGCGGACTTCATTCTGCGTGAAGACTACAGAGGGCGCTGTTCATCATCCTCGGACTTCGGAGCAACCTCCAGCCACCTCCATCCGTCATCAGTGAACCATCGGGCTCTGGAGATGCAACCCCTCCTGATGCATTTCTCTTAAGCCCCGCCCATCAAGTCTCTAGCCCCACCCAACAACCCACAGGTAAACCAATCGCGTGCCAGCTACGTGGAGTGTTCTTGTAGAAGCTCCGTCCACCTGCTCTCAAAGGACGCCCTCATCTGGTGGCCGGCGCGCCCTACATCCGAGTCGTCTTCGTTGAATGTCTCACAGTTGTCAAAGACAACGCGGACGTCGGCTGCAAACTCCTCTCGCTGGTGGTAGCTGAGGATGGACAAGAAAAATTGTTACAAGAATTTGTTCTCTTGAAAATTTATCCACAGGAATTTATATTACATCATGGCACAGCCCCTAATGTGGCGCACTTTGATTTTTCACCTCTTGTGCCTTGCTAGAGCACAATATTAACCTCAAATTTCACAGGGAGTACCCGTTACAAAGTTCCAGAAAAATTCAATTTTAGCGTGATTTTCCGATTTTATTTTGAAGTGCACAATGAACTCTTTTAAAATGCGCCCAAAATAACAAAAAGGATTTTCTGACAAACTTGAAGTTGGGTATGTGAGTGGAAATAATAATGATTTATCAGAATTTATCAACCAATAAATTCTGAAATGTTAACGTGGGATTTTTTTTTGATTTGTTCAGTGCACCACGTAAGGAAACACTGGGCCGCATTTGTGCCCAATTTCCGGACGCCACCATTTTTGAATTCCGGACTTAATTTCATGACACGGATAGTATTGTTTACAAAGGCTCAACAGCAAGTATTATAAAGGTAAAAGTACCAGTATTTATCTGAATGAATTTGAACTTTGTCAACAAAGAGGTTTGGCAGCACTGCATGAGAAAAGTCAAAGGAAACATCGAAGTGCGACTCGAAAGGGGACTCCACTATACATTGCTTGCATTTTGGCTGCTTATACATTTTTAACCAAGACAATATGTTCCTGCGCTTAGCCAGCACCATGTCACTGACCAACTTATAGCAACTTACTGTCCAGCGTGTAGCCTTGCCCTGATAGTGCTGAAATCCATAGGTTTCTTGATGATCTTGCGATAGCTCGGGAACTGTTTTGTGTTGACAGGAACCAGGAATGGCCAAGAATTCTCATCCTTTTCCAACTCCGTCATGATCGACCTGCGGAGATGGTTTTAAGGAACAAATTACCAGGTAAGTCAGAGAAAATTAGTGTAAGGTTGAATTGAGAGTGCCTGGGTAGAAAACTCGCTGGCTTTGGGAAACATTGTGTCAACAACTTTGGGTCCCAGATACATGTAAACGACAAAATACTTAACTCCTCAGTTGCTTGAGGAAGTGATGAATACAATGTTGAAGAGATTAAGGCCGGATGACTAATTTCTAGCAAATATCAGATTGATGAAAATTTGACAACAGGAGGAAGAAAGACTACACCAGCCATGATGAACAGCGCCCTCTGTCGGTTGACATAGTCATGGCTCTGGAAGCCCGTTTGGGACACAGCCTAAGGCTTGTCTGTTGTAAAGTGATGGTGATGATTGATGTAATCCTTATCACCACTTCATGAATTGTGCAAATAATCTCCGATTGAGTTGTTAAGATCATTGATAACACCCAAAAAACTCCAATTTTAAAACCTTTAGAAGTTTCCTCAAACGAGTTAGGCTGGTTTGGGGCATGGACTTCGTACTTTAGAAATATGGCCACATAAGTTACAAATAAAAAGACTAGGTCACAGATATTAAGCAGTGTGGTTACAATGTTTGGGATCTTATCTCTCCGTTTTAACTAGGGACACAGACTGTAGGTCTAAAGTACTGTGCATTTTAGCCCTATTTTATGCAATTCTGGTTGTTTGTTACTTTTCACCAAGGACTCAGATTCCAGGGTTTAAGGATTCAGGTGCTACTTATTTTTGACTGCGTCTGAGACTTACTTGCAAGGCGCCATTTCTTTCTTCTTGGCTGCTTTCTCTTCCTTCTGCGCCTCCTTATCCACCGAGACAGCCGGGCTGGACGGTGTGTCCGCCGGCGTACTGCGACCCGAGTGGTGACCTGAGTGGTGACTTTTGTCCTTCTTGTCTTTGCTCTTCCGTTTGTGGTTGCGGCTCTTGGAGGCTTTGCGTTTGATCTTCTGGCATGGAGGGCAGAACCACTTACCACGAGGAAATCTTGTTTTAGGGAAGATGGGGGATAGATAAAGGGGTCTTTAATTAGAGAAACTCCATTTATGAAAACTTAAACAGTGTCAACGGTTGAAAGAAAAAACAAATCAAGCTTGAGTCTGTATTTCTAAGTAATAACAAATATTGGAGAACTGTGCTAAATTTGTTGTGGATCCTAGCTGTGTGCAGTTATTGTTTCATGGTACGTCCCACACTAGAGCTGTTTGCTTGATCACAACGTCCCAAGTATAGTACCCTGACTTACTTGCTAAGTACAGGATCAAGGCAGTTGAGGTGGTATGCTCGTGGACACTGCTCACATTTCAAGAGTTTACCGGTCTTCTGGCATTCGGTACACGTGCCTGGCTCACCGGTAGCCTGTAACGGAAACAACAGAGTATAGTGAAATGGGTGCCACAGCGGAGGGTGGTACGAAAACAAGGGGTTGGGATGCATACATGTTTTAGCCCCCAAATTAAATTTAACTCCATCTGAAAATCCCTTTTCAAAAGTCAATTCCATTGTGTTGAAATGGGAACTTTCTTTATTAATTTCATACAATTTTCTCCAGAATCCATTTTTTTCCGAAAAATCAGAAAGTCAAAATTTGTTCTCCTATGGGGAGTTTTGGTTCCTAACCAAACAAAATATGGAAATTTGGGATCAGGGACTACATCTGCTCCTCAGCATAATGGTTATCATTATTATTTGAGCTGATTAGAAGAACACATTGCACACAGCAGGAATTATGGGCAGTGGGTTTTTCTTTTGCTGGTTATGCTGCTTCAAAAGATATTCCCATAAACTTTTTTTTGGGGGGGGGTGGATAATTAGAAGCAAGAGTAGAAACAAACTCTGCTTTGTGCATACAATGAATCAAATGGTCTGCCGTGCTGTTTGTTAAAAACTCATCCACAAGAAACCCCAGAAACTGGTCCATGCTCACTTCAATATCAAGCTACTAGAGTGGATTCAATTAATCATTAGTTACAACAAACAAATAACTAAAGAGTGGAGTGCTGTGGCCTCGTGGTTAAGGGCACTGGATTCGTGGTCTGTGGGTAAAGCTGCGGGTTGTGGGTTCGAGTCCAGCCGGGGTCATGGTGCGTGTGCCCTTGAGCAAGGCACTTTGTCACTCATTGCTTCTCTCCACCCAGGAGTAAATGGGTACCTGTGAGGGCAGAGATGGTTATTGTGATTGAATAAGCTTGCTTGCGCCTAACAGGCAGCATCGAGCTGTATACTCCCCAGGGAGCTAAAATGGTATTTGGAATGTTTAATTGGCCCAATGATCAGGGGTAATAATAATACTGTAAGCGCTGTGATTAAGTTTACTAAAAAGAGCGTTCTTAAATGCCGATTATTATAAAGACAACAAGTAATTTGTTTGTTGGGGGGGGGTGCAAGGTGGTGGATAAACAAGTCATCTCGAATGCTGATTAAGGATTGTACTTGAAGTGAACCTAAAACAAAACCAGGACCTCAAAGAATGAGATCTACAGAGAAAAAACACAAACAAACAAACAAACAAACAAACAAACAAACAAGCTAGAGAAATGAAGCAGAACTGTTATTGGTTTAATTAGAACTGACAATCACATGGCAAAATTGCGCCCTCAAACGTCCATGCACAAAGCCACTGATACATAAAAGTATTGCATTAATAATGGCAAGTTTGTTATCAAAATCAGGTTAGTGTCTTTAACAAGTGCCAAAGACTTGACAGGTCATAACAAGGCTTAGGTTTTGCTTTTATCAGACCATCAAGTGAAAGCAAGTTAGTCGAGCTGTCATGACCTTAAAGCGGTACTGCTTCATTTACCCCTCAACCCCCAAATCACCAATATGCCTGTACGCTAGTATTGGAATTGACCTATCGCCGTTTGGGAGCTGGCCACGCCCCTTAGACAACCCTATGAAATTTGTGTACGCTAAGTTTTGTTTGTCTCAGATGTTGCGCGTTTCGCGTCCATTTGTATATCATGTAATTGGACAATATTTCACAAGCTGCGTTGACAAGATTCTAACGTGATTCTACCGCGATAGGTCAATTAGTTTTAACCAAACACCAATCTTTTTTTTCTCCCTTTTTTTTTTCCTGGCAAACTGTGAGCATACCTTGGATATACAGACGGTGCAGTACCAATCCCCCTCAGGTATCTGAGTCATCTTGGGTTTGATGCAGTATGTATGGAAGCCCTTATCACAGCCGTCGCACAGCAAGAGCAGTGCCTCATTGTCACCTTTACGACACAGCTGACAGAACTGGACAAGAGGGAGGGAGGTGTGGCGAACGTTGGATATCACTCGACTGCCCATCACTTTTAACTCGCTTCAATTTCTTTAAAAGTTTCCTCTACGTTTATGCTCTTCTTATTCAAGTTGTGTTCTTTTTAAGGGGGTTTAAAAATCCAAATTCTTGTCGGATATTATTACTAATTCCTTTCGTTGTTTTTAGAGGAGGGTAGGATTTACAGAACAGAAACAGATAATGATGTTCTCTTTATTACTTGAAGAAAATCTGCTTTTTTTGTCTTTGAGCAACGTTTTACACCTTGAGTTTTACATTCAACTGACATTCAAGGGAGAGAGGATAGAAAATTTCAGAAACTTGGACCCAATTTCATGCCTCTGCTTACCAAAAAAAACACAGAATCTCTGCTGTAAAATACCAGAGTATCCTGTGCTGACGGAAGTGGATTACACAAGTTATATAAAATTTGGACTCGTGTCACGTACAGGGTGAGTCAAGTAAAGCGAAACCCAAATCTCAGGACGATCGTTTTAGTGAAGTTCCGCATGTTGCACTTTGAAAATCTAGGATATAAAAGCCCAATTCATAAGCTTTCTTTTAGTACAAGAATCATTCAAATCACTCATGTCCTTTTAAAGTTGCAGAATTTTAAACACAACCACCGTTTTAAAGTTCTGTCCACGGATCACAAAAAAGGTTTGCGTTCTTTCAGCAAAACGAAAACAGAAGTTTAAGAAGGGTGGTTGTGCTTAAAATTCGGTAACTTGAAAAGTACATGAGTGATGTGAATGATTTGTGTACTAAAAGAAAGCCTATGAATTGGGCTTTCATATCCTAGATTTTGAAAGGGCTACATGCAGAACTTCACTAAAACAATGGTCCCGACATTTGGGTTTCGCTTTTTTTGACTCACCCTGTAGATACACATGTGAATACTTTTTGACTCGTATGCACCTTTACATTCCATAACCCAGAATTCCGTGTCTGCATAGTTATTGCAGAATTTCTGCACTTTTCCCGCAATCACAGTGTGGTCATCATACAAGTGCCAGCAGAGATATGAAACTAGGCCCGTTTATGTACTTACAACTTTCATAATAGACTTGTCCCAGGCTATACACTTCTCCAGTACATTCAGACACATGTGTAGCCGAGATGCAGAGGTGGCATTCTCGACGGTGCGTCGCCAGCGCACTAATCCCTTGGACGGCTCCTCCTCTACCTTGGCGAACGAGGATTCCTCAGGGACGGCTACCGCTGCTGCCGCTGCACTGCCACGAGATCTGGGATTATAGGATTAACAGATGAACGGGATTAGAGGGGATAACCAAATGGGAAAAATATGATGCAGCAATGTGAATGGTGCAAAGCGGAACTATCAGAATAACAGCAAATGTCAATAACTTACTTTCACTTTGAAATCATAGTTTGAACCGAACAGAAACTGCTTTTGAATCAGGTTTCCGGTTTACGCTGAAACTTTGTTACATTTGGTATATAAAATACCATCATAGCATACTTTGAAATGCTTGTGGATGAGAATTGCTAAATGGAATGAGCTGAGCATCACACAGGATGCTGATTAAGTGTCAAGCAAATCACGCTTGAGCATTCACTTGCTGAAGACATGACGGACAGGCAGGCAGGCACAACAGTGGACATACCCTGGAACAACATGGTGAACGTATTATCAGTACCCAATAAAAAAGAATACAGATGCTACAACTTTAGTTCAAAGATTTTTGTCAATATCCTTTAGCATAGCTACCGGTATTATCACAAAACTCCATGGGGAATTGCTAAGGTACAGTAATCATAACCTAGAATTCAATATGAATCCTATTTACTACAGCCTCTGTCCATACATGTACGTGAATTCAAGCTTGAGACATACTGGTAGAAAACAAACTCTGAAATCTGTAGACTTGTGGTATACCATTCTAGCACAATGCGCAGAGAATCTGTGTCCTGATTGGTTGAACTGAAGGCATGTCACATGACATTCCCACATGGAATTGTAGCAAATTTAATGAAATCCAATTCAACCACTATACCTGCCCTAAACTGATGGCCAAAGAGTGTAGAGTAAACAGCAACATTCAAATTCCCCACAAGGCCTTTTCACATTAGAGCCTCCCAACCCAGGTTGAACTCAACCCTGGGGAAACCAAGTGCCGCCCCAGGTGAAGTTTTTGATTTTTCAACCCGGCATTTAACCCCGCATCATTTCACACTTGTTTTGTGCAAACCGAGCTTATTTCGGTCGTTTACTACTGTTTTGAATGCTGGAGGGAGTTAAAACATAGGTACATGTACACATGGGTCAGGTTGGTACAGACCATAGAGCTATATTAAATTACTAGAGCGCTGACTCGCGTACAAAGTGATGCCTGCTGGGCGCATCCATGTTTGTACATAAACAAACCTAGGGAAAACTCGAAATTTTGTACGACTTTTGTACGTCTATTTGCTTTGTGTTTGTATTCTATACAGGTGCCTTATCAAAGCCGATACGCTCATGTAGCTCTACGCAAACACCGCAATGCGTGCGCTGCTTGCTGGAGATGATTTAACCGTCACTTTTTTTTAAAACCATAATGAAACGCTTCAGTTGTTTGCATACATTCTACTTGCGCGTTGCATTTCGAGTTCTCTTTCAAAATTCAATCCATCTTATTTCATTATGTTCTACAAACACGCACATGAATTCAAAATATCTGTGCCCAGGACGGCTTCAAAGCGTCTCCACGCGCAAGAATGAGGAGTTAGCGCTCTAGTAATTTGATATAGCTCTATGGTACAGACAGTCTTGTTCCGTAGTTGTGGGGACTTACACTCGTCTGTATGAGGTATTTGTGGGGACTGAAAACGCTGTGACAGCAGAAAGTCCCCATAACTGTCCTAATCTGCACAGCAATAAAAAAAAACTTCCCCAAAACGCATTGTAGGCCAGGGCAGACATCTAACCCTGTGCTTTTTCTGACTCACACGTTCCAAAACTGCATTAAATATTATGTAAACTGAAATCTTCAGATTTCTCCAGAGTTTATAAGACGAACATTCTACCACAAAATGAGCAATAAAAAGTGACTTTTAATTTCACATCACTGATGATTACATTTGGAACTATAGTCCATTGGGAAGTTTACAAATGTATGTAGTTTGTAGTAAACATGTACACGTAGAAAGAATGTTTGTTTGTTTGTTGTTTTGAATATTTGTTCCTTTTTGGGGTTCATAGTTGTGATCCTGTGTGTTTTCTATGTGTATACCGTAGGTGCTCATTAACAGCAACCTACCTGGACACAGCGCCCTCACAGTCTGGTTGCCCCTGGCAGGCAAGTTTTATAGCATTTTCACTGTGAAAAGTGAAACAAAACAAGAAAATATTGGCCTGAACTGTACTGAACTTCAGCTTGTTTTTATATTTTATGTTTTTCATATGTTAAGCAACCAGGTTAGAGCATTCAAGTTGAATTAGCTGATCCTACCCCTTGTAGCAGAAACAACTTTCCAATTATTATTTTTTAGGTTTATATACATTAAAGAGTCGAGATAATTTGCCACCAACTTTCTGCAAAAGATGCAACTGGGCCTAAGATTTCGCAGTTAGTTAAGCAACCAAATGAGTAGTTTGTTAAGCATCAACCCACCCTTGAGGTAAATACGAAAACAGAGAGAATTCTGAAGAGATGAATGTGAGATGAAGGTGAAATGGGTCAGACGTGAGCCTCAATTCAACTGGCGGTTTAAATTCCAGCAGCATAGTTACGAGTAGAAGGAATTGCCAACACCTCAAAATCCTCACAACCAAAACAAATGCAAGAGAAACAACAACATGCCAGCATGGTGATCAGAGAGATTGGAAGGAATAAGGCTATTTCCATGGACCCAGGCATAAACAGAAACAATTTCAAGAATCAAAATTTCCAATAACGCTTCCACAGTTTACAAAGAAACACCCTGGACATTGTCTGCGATCAAACGGCAGCATGGTAGCAATACACAGCGGCCAACACGCAGTCAGTAAAAAAAAATCAGTATTACATTGGCTCATCGCTCTCCCTGAGCTTGCCAAAACAAAGGCCCAACAATACCAAACAGTAAGTAATCGTCCCCGGAAAAAAACAAAATCGATCATCAATGCAAGCAGCATATAGGCCTAAGCATCATCTATAATCCAACATCTAGTGAGGACAGACGGAGAACATGTATACTGTCCAAAATTTCCCAAAAGAATTTCTCAACTAGCTTTTTGTTTAAAGCTGTATACAACTGACCTCAGATTTTACAATTTGTTTGGCTTTGTGGTGGGAATATTTACTCATTAAAATGCCTACCATTAACAAAACATGGATTAGACACTCAAAATTAGACTTGTAAAGAGCCAGAATAGCATGGCAAAAAAGAAACCCTCCCAAAAAGCTGTTACTTGAACATTTGAACGAAATAAAACCCTACCACCAATAATTACAAAATCAGTGATGTATCTTCAATTAGGGAAAACACCAAGTGCCTGCCACCAAAGGGCATGAATACCAGAACAAAAGACAACACAAAGCAAACAGCTGTCAATTCAAGCTGCAGTAAATGCAAAACAACATAAACAACAAATTGGCAAACGAAAAACTGTGTTAATATTCAAGTAAAATGGCCTTTGCTGAAAAAAATGCATTAGTTTGGCATTTTAATTCAGTTTTAAACAAGTCCTTTGCAAAAAAAAGTGGTTAGACAAGTTATTATCGAACCTTAGTTTAGCTTTGAACCAGTTAAAGCAATGCAGTTTACGTGGGAATTTATTTGGGAATTCTCAGGGAATTTTGTAAATGTGGCCGTTCATAAATTGCATTTGATAATGAAATGCTTTTTACTGTTACATTAAAAAAAAAATCAGGACACACACACCTCGATGATTCAATGAAAAGCTAACATTTTGGTCAAGCAGAACCAATAAATTTTGCTCGATTTCAAAATAATATCACGGACATGCATCCAACTTTTTTTTCATCAGTTTAGTCAAAATTGTACTTGGCAAGCCTTTCAAACACCTATACTTTAATTCTTTGCTTTAAAATTCCTTTTGTTTCTTTGCATTGAAATTTTCAATAGAATTCCCTCCTTTATCTCACACTAGTCCTTTTTTGGGGGGAGGGGGGAGCCTACTCTACTCACGCTTTGCTGAGTGGCGGTTTCAGGTATCTTCTCTCCACCGATTTCTCCAAGGCGAGGAGTCTCTTGATGGCAATACCGATAGGGTTCACTCCAGAACTCTCGGCAGTCTGCCAGGACTCCAAATTGGGATCAATGGAGACCTTCTCTGGTAGGACCCAGCCCTGTCATCAAACGAAAACGTTGCGGTTAGCCCTCTAGAAATATATCTTAAGTTCAAATGCTTTTCCAGCAAAGGGGGAATACACTTGTACAAGTACAATTGAAAAGAGTCTTAGTGTGCCTAAGGTGCAATAGTCTGAACTCTGATTCATAATTGCAGATTATTGTGGATCATAGAGCTATATTTAATTATTAGAGCACTAACTCCTCATTCTGAAGCAAGGGTGCTTATATTCCAAAGATGACCATTTTATTGACCCAACCCACCTTGACTTGCATACTGGCTGAGAAGACGCGCTCCTCCATCGCTTCTACTGCTTCCACGATGCCACGATTGGCTGAGAAGGTGACTTCCTGGAGCCAACCCTCCTTCTCTTCATAGACGGGCGGTGGGATGCGGGGAATGCTGTTGTTGTCTGTGTAGGTCTCCTTGTCTTTACTCTGGATCAGAATGTCTGTGGGTGGGGCAGGGTGGGGCAAGGTAGGATGTGGCAGGGTGGGGATAGGCAGGGCAAGGTAGGGCAAGGCAGGTTAGGGGAAGGCAAGATTGGGCAGGACGGGCAAGGCAGGGTGTGGCAGGGCGAAGAAGGGTGTGGCAGGGCAAAGAAGGGTATGGCATAGCATGGCAGAACAGGGTTGGGCATGTTGGGCATAAAAGGGCAACGAAGGGAGGAACAGACAATAAGGTATAATCTTAATAAAGGTAAAATAACATTTTGTCCTTCCCCATGCAGAAAAACAAAATTGACAGCCTTCTTGGGTAAAATCTGATCTCTGGCTAAATAGTACTCACATTTTAATAAGAATAAACACCAAGACATTTTGTTGCCCTTCTTTAAAAATATTCAGGTTTTTCTCTCTTCATTTCCTTTTTTTTTTTGGGGGGGGGGAGATTTCCATAATTCCAAGTCGACAGATCCTGGTGCGTGATATGAATTTGCTCAACCAGTGTTTGTTAAAGGGCACGTTTTATCCGTACTTACCGTTCTTGATTCCTTTGGAGCACACCTTGAGTGAGAAGTCGTTGAATTTCTGAAAGCTTTTCTGCATAATCCTCTCCCTGATGCCTCGCATGTGTAGGGACCTTACGACGAGACGTAACATGTTGGGATCACAGATTTGCCACCAGCCTTGCTGCAAGTCTGCGGGATCAAAGAGCAAACAAAAAAACATTCTGCAAATACCGGTAATCACATTCCCAGTCATTTTTGCCTGGTATAGGTCTAGTTCAAATGACGTCATTTCCTACTGACCATCCACATGCATTGGCATTTTGAGCGTAAAAAAATGCAAAACGCATATCGGCGGTGTCGTATTTCAAACGCATTTCGAGCAACAAGTGCCCGTGTTTGGAACATTTTCAATACTACTAAAAAACGCAGTTGCAGTTCTCCTACAGAGATGGCTGTCATTGAGCGAGCCCTGTTCTACAGGGATGTGATTGGTCTGTGACAAAAAAACCTGAAAATTTTATGCATGAAGTGCAAACTCCGGCGAGCGCAAAGCCATTACGGCGTGGGGTCCGGGGCCCGCTGAAGGGCCCCGAAAAATTTTTGATTTTAGATGCTCTGTGGTGCAATCTGAGGAAATTACTGGGCACTTTCCTCTGAAATTCTGAAGCAGAATTTGTTTTCATTTTATGAAGAATTTTCCTTTATTTGTTTAAATGTACTCTTGTTCTAATAAATTGTTTCTGTACTCAAAGCTGAGAACCATGCTGTTCTCCCCAGAATTTTTTCAACCCTGTAGGGGAATTTTTGTTGTGATACAACAACCTGCGAAGCCACGGCGTGGGTTCGGGTCCCGCTTGAGGGCCCCGAAAAATTTTGAACTTTAGAAGCTTTCTGGTGCATTTTAGAGTATTTCAGAGGAGATATTGTAATATTTTTGTAAAAAAAAAATCAAAATTGTAAACTTAAATCACTTCTGCTTCCGATAACATGCCTTTCAAAATAGCGTCAGTAGTATTGTTAGAAAAAAATATTTCACCATTTCTATATTTGTAGTAAAGCAAGGAATCGTTTATATTTCATGTATTTTGTGCCTGGATTATTCTCATTTGCGCCACAAAAATTATCAAGACTAGCCATCAAAAGTGATTAAAACTTGCCTCACCTAATTAAAAATCTATATATTTGAGGTGGGTCATTCCACAATTATGCTTAACGTACATGTACATCACGGCCGCTAGCGCCGCAAACATTCAGTCTGGCCGGCCGAACATCGCGCCGTACACATGGCCGGCCCGGCGCAGTATAGTGTGCATTGCTGCACTGTGTACGGCCGGCAGCCCGTCCCAAGTGGCCGAAAATTCTGCAGGACTGCAGAAACACAGGTTCGAGTTTTGCAATCTCGTCATTTCAATGGAAAATACATACACAGAAAATGAAGATCACGTTCTGTGAATTAATTTGCAGAAATCCTCTTTTTCCATCGATGGTTGTTTGGTATTTTACTATTTTTACGATCCAACTTCGGCCGATTATACGCACGGAAAACGAACCTGTGAGTACTTGCAGTAGTCACTGGTTCCGGTCCTTCATCATAGCATTGATTCTGTTAGCAGGCGAAGGGTACCAGTGTACCATGCTGCACTCGTCTGCAAACCTGACAAGCGCAACACGTGCATCTCGAGTACCGACACAGGAACTAGACCTACATAACCACAACCTCGGCCCCGAGCAAAAAATCATAATCGCACTAATGGCAACGCATGGTCTTCAACTTCGTTCTCACATTGGGTGTCCAATATGTGCGTGCGGCATACATATCGATCAACGAAGTTTATGTCCGTAAGTAAATTTCGGATATTTCGGCAAGCAAAACTCATTATGAATAATTAATTAGCACATTCTACCCCCCTATTTTCTCAACGGATTCACATGATTCACGTTGGTGGACTTTTGAGGCCCAAAAAACGGATTTCCGGATAAAACCGGAGAAATCACATCCCTGGAAAGAACGAAGGCAAGTCATGTTATCTTCACAATAAAAGAGCTGTAATCCAGTCATCACAAGTCAGTTACAAGTCATGTGACAACGGCATTCCTTTTGTCATTATTCATCCCCAGCAACTTGTAGCCCGACCTGTGTTTTTGACAAAGGGAATAGATGTGTGCTTGGCCGGTTTAAAACACTACGTTTAAGACCGGCTGAAGTCTGGATGCTGGTAATGACCCGAGCTGAAGGCAAGGGTCATTATCAGCATCCAGTCTTAAACACAGTGTTCAATACCGGCCAAGCACATATTTATTGCCATTCATAAATACCTTTTCAGTCAAACAGTTTAAACAAGTCAGAAATATATATAGTACCAACAATTTTGATCAACAACTGTACCTTATGTTTTTCTAAACACCCCTCTCATTATTTTATGGCATGGCCCTCTCCAGGTAGTCATAAACAATTCCTTATACGGAGTTTGGCGCGCTCGTCGCGCGTACTGCGCGATGTGACGCAAAACGCAGCTGTGCAGGTGTAGTGTGAATTTAGGACTATCAAAATACTGACTCACTGGTAGTATTGCCCATGCCTTAGTGAGGACTGTTCAACCAATAAAACAGTAGTTAGCACCGGATTTCACAGGAGTCCAAACTATCTCAGGTATTTATGAATTGACCAATCGCCGTTTGTGAGTTAGCCACGCCCCTTAGACACCCCTATGGAGTTTTTGTACACTAAGCAGTGTTTGTCTCAGATTTTGCGCATTTCGCATCCTTTTGTATATCATGTAATTGGACAATGTTTCACACGATGCGTTGACGCGATTTAACGCGATAGGTCAATTGTGATTAAAACTCTGAAAAAAATATAAACAAGGTGGAATATTCCACTCTCTTTGAACTAGGTGAACTTGAGAACAATGCATAAAATCATTTACTTTACAGACACTGACTCATTGGAATTTCTTCCTAAGTCATTTGTTGATGAGTATTTCATCAAAAGATGTTCAACAGATGCTCTAAACATTTGTTGGCAACGCTGTTGAGCAGCGAGAACAAGAAGAAATGGCTTTTGGCTTCCGTCTGCACAGACTTTTCATTGAACCTTTTAGCAAAACAAAGCTGGTCTTACAGTGTTTAGTACAAACCTTTAGGGATGGGTTCAACTTGTGCCTTTTCCATCTGATCTAAGAGGGCTTGCATGTTAGCGATTGCCTTCAAGTCAGCTTCTTCATCTTCGTCGTCTTCCTCTTGCTCAGTCTTGATGTTGACCGCGTTCGTCAACGGTAGAAGGGGGTTGACGCTTGCCGATTGGTCCATCTGATTCATCTGTAGAGTCTGCAGTGGGATAGGAGCCACGCCAGGGAAGCTATAGGCTCCCATGAAAGCGTTCATCCCACCGACGTGCATGAGTGGGAAGGGCATCTGGTAGATGCCGTAAGGAGTTAAACCAAAGGCTGGCACGGCTTGAGCAGCCTGCTTGAATTGGTCAGTGAAGGCGTCGTTAGTAGCTGGTTTCTCCTCTTCCTGTTTGACAGGGACGGTTAGTAAGGAGGTATCATCGCAAGGCATACGAGGCAAGATGCTAAACCAGGAGCCCATGGCTCCGTTGGGTTTAGAGTCTAGAGGGATAGACGGGGGCGGTACACTGGAGGAGGTGATGGGAGGCGGAGGGTAAGGGTTTGTCGATGACGACGATACTGGTCGATCAGGCCGCTGTAGCATACTATCTATACTCAGATATCCAAGTTTAGGATTGCTCTTCTTGGTTGGGGATGCACGATGGCCACCGTCAGAGCTCTCTGAAGCTGCCATCTTTGGGCTGACAGTCGTAATGGAGGCTTCCGCTTTGGAAGCAGTGTCCTCCTTCTTTACACTTACAGTACTGTCACAACTGGTTGCCTTCTGCTGGTTAGCATCCTGGTGAACTTTGTCCGCCTTGGACAGATTCAGTGGAACTTCCATGTACAAATTTTCCCTGGCATCCTGTTCCGTGGGACCATTTACGCTAATTTCTCCATTCACCTGGGGGATGCTTTCTGTTCTTTTGTCGTCTGCTGTCTCCGGTTCTTCACGGGAGTTTTCCAATTTGGGTTCACTGACCTCCATCTTCACCTCCTCCTCTTGTGAGTTTGACGACGATGACGACGGCAATGTTCTATCTTCGCTGGGCAAGTTCTCCGTCTCAGTCTTGGTGGTTTCTTGGGTATTTGCACTACATGAGGTATCCATTGGCATCTCTTTGGTTTCTTCATCTTGCTTCTGCTCGTCTTGTTTCTGCTCGTCTTCTTTCTCCTTCTTGTCTTCGTCTTCTTCTCCTTTCGCCTCCTCCTCCTGTTTCTCTGTCTTCACCATCTCCTCACCGGCTTCAGTCTTGCACTCTTCTGAAGTCCCTGTCTCTGCTTTGCTGGCAATTTGATCCAGAGTCAGCATGTTAGGTTCGGCACTCTCTAGACCTTCTACCAGAAGCCCACCAGAGTGAGGCAACACCCAATAGCGGCGTCTGTACCGGTCCTGGCCGAACGCGATGGCACGTAAGGAGTGGGAAGCGTCAAAGATCTTGTGTCGGAACTGACCGTGTTGCTGCGGACAGGATCAAAAGGTAATAGAAAGCATAATGGTTCAGTGAATTCTCATCAAGTATGGATTGTTAAAACCTGGCGATTAAAGAGTGATATAGAAACATTCTGTTCGAAGCAGAGTGCTAAGCAGCAGTTTGGTGAATAATCTACCCTTTCTTTTGGCCATCCGTAACACCTACCCTGACCTCAACCTGTGGTATATGAGCTTAGTAAATCAGCCTTGCGACATGTTACATGTCGCAACTTGAGTAGCGACTATCGCGTGCTTCGTGAAATCGGGTGCAGGCTTGGCAGACCTTCCATGACTCACGACAGATAACTCACCTTGCCGAGTTTTTCCATCTTCTTCTCAATCTCTTCCAATCCATCGGTAGTTGACTCAACTTCCACCTCCTCGTCCAACCCCCCTTCGTCCTCATTAGCCCCGCCCACCCCGCCGTCCTCCCCTCCGCTCATGTCGTCATCATCGTCATCATCATCGTCGTCGTCGTTGTTGACTTTCTTGCCCTGTTTCTCTGGGGTTCCGTTCAGTGTTGGGGTGGAGGTACCCGGTTCTTGCTTGGGCACCATCTTATGGTCAAACTTCTTGGCGCGCAAGGTGCGAAGTCTGTGGGAGGGATAAACCAGAAGGTCTGCTATTAGAAACTGTTCACCGATTCATGATGCCATGTTATGCAAGGAATCAAAACTGTGCAGCAAATCCACGTCATACATACTGTACTTAACAAAATTGGGACATCACGCCATGTGTTTAATAGTGCACGGCTGAATAGTCCAAAATCTATCCAATGAATTTTTTTCGCATTTTCAAGAGTTAGGTTAAGTAATATGTACTTGGCAGGGCCTTTTAAAATTAATCAGTTATGGAAACTGTCTCAAGCATTCAATAACAAACAACTTTAATATTTATGCTTAACTTTTCAGTTAAACTACTATTTGGCATTTTGGCTCCCAAAGTTTGAGGAAATATAATTTTTTTTTAAAAACCTCAACAGACTTACTTTCTCATTTTCCCCTCCACAATCCACTTGTCACGTCGTAGGTTAGTGACTTTATCAATACCGCCCTCTATCTGCTGAATGACAGGTCGGCTGCAAACCAACTGGTTGACTAGGAAGGCAAAGACTGAGGCTTTCTGAACGGCAGATAAAGACTTGAAGGGAACAGTGCTCATCAGCTCGCTTATCTGAAAGACAAAAAATGGTGGCAAACATTTTGGTATTGAGGATGACAGAACACGATAGAATTCTACAGACATTCTGCAGATTTTGCAAACTCTTCATACTTCAGCTTACTCTCACAGTTGAGCCCACTATCCCGTCATATTTACCTCATCATCTTGCCCGTTGACTCCGATGATGTAGTACCTCAGCATCTCAGAGAGATTGTCCTCTGTGACGTCGATGTCTTCAACAGACTGACCCCAGGGAGATTTCTAAGATCAGACGAACCAAAAACCAAAGAGACCACGTGAATATATCACTGTGATGTGGAAAAGAACTCCTCTTTTACACACAAGGGATTCACGGTACTGAGGATGAAGTTGTGTCTTACTCCGGAAGAAATCAATTGAAACCATCACAGTGTAAGTCTTTTTTGTTTTCTATGAGTTTTTCTGATTGACAAGAATGTTCTCTTAAAGACTTGCCAGGCACCATCTACAAAATTTGAAACAATGTACAACATGCTGTGAAATGAACTATTCGAATCACATATGGCTAGCAGTGCTGCCAAGGTTATGACTTCACCAATGTGATATTGCTCCCCCCCCCCCATATCTATCCTAACCACACCCCTAATCACCCATATCATGTCCATACCTCTGGGTGATTATTCAGTATACCAGGGTCTTATAGAGCTAGGGCTAGCAGCTGTATGGCTAAGGCTATGACTTCACCGATGTAATATCACTCCACCCTCCCCCCCCATATCTATCCTAACCACGCCCCTAATCTCCCACATCATGTCCATACCTCTGGGTGATTATCAAGTACACCAGGGTCTTCTAGAGCTAGGGGTAGCAGCTGTATGGCTACGGCTATAACTCCACTGATGTAATGTCTCTCCATCTCCCCCCCCCCCCCAATATCTATTCTAACTCCGCCCCTAATCTCCCACATCAAGTCCATACCTCTGGGTGATTATCCGGTATACCAGGGTCTTCTAGAGCTAGGGCTAGCAGCTGTATGGCTAAGGCTATGACTTCACCGATGTACTCTGTCTCATTAAGTAGACCCGCCTGCAATGTGGTCATTGTGGGAATGTCTTCTTCCTTATCTAATTTCAAAAGAAGGAAAAAAGTTCAGGTTCAATTCAATTCAGTTCAAATTTATTAGCATTGTTTCGCAGCTGAAGCTGAATTACAGGTGTTTACAATAAAAACATTATAATTTTGTAAAACATTATATGTAACACATTAAAATTGAGAACAATTGTTATATACGCAAAAAATGTTAGAAGGTTAGTGTTTCACAAACAAAAGCAAACAAGAAGCATGCAAGACATTAGAGGTAGAGTATATCATTTGTCATTTGTTCAGTTTTGTCGTTTGAAGCAACAAAAGTGCTCAAAATCTAAAGAAGGGTGCTTAACAACTAACTTGATAAAGTTTTAGGTTTGTAAATACTGTATATTCCGAGAAAACAATATTCTAGGATCTCGATTTCAATTCCAAAATTCCGAGTCATGTCTTGAATTGCTCCCGAAATCTGCATCCGGGACACGTTCTCATTCAGCCGATTGCAGCTACACAATGTCACGCACTGAACCGACGAATTATAGCAACCAACAAATAATAGCAAGCGCACGCGCACGTGTCAACGCTTGCACGCACCCATTCAGGGCTTCGCAGAATTAAAATCAAACTGCTAATGGAAATTTCCAAACATACGTCTTGACGCATCTTTGGAAATGGCCTTCTTTTATTGTTTTCTTCAAAATGACAGCATGCCAGAAAGAACAATTTCACAGGAAATTTAGTGCCATTACAGAATTTCAAGCGACTTATTTTATTATTCTAATACAGCTTTTTTCTGATCTAGTAACTGTGGACTTACCAAGGCCAAGAGCGTCACAGAATGTGTGAAGAAATTCCAACGTCATCAGGCAATCAGCAAAGGATTGGCCAGGTAGCTTGAGACCTGATAGACGCTCAAGGTTGGGTAGAGGCTAGATAGACAACGGGAATATCACAATATTAAACTTCAATTGTTGACATAATAAAGTATAAACCTGTCCTACGGAATGTACTCCATGTGCAACAAGTCTGACCGAGTTCGGGTTCACCACATAAACATACTAAACTAGTATTTTTGATCGCCACAAGTTGACTACTTCCCAGGCAAATGCCCACTTCACAGCGATCGTCTGCTTCGTGCACGCGATCAACTCATGAACAGCTTGTGAACAGACACACACATACAAGTGTGTATTTCCTGCAATCAGGGACCCCCTATTGTCCCTCTTTTGTTTGTACTGACTTTTTAGGAAGACCTCCCATATGTTTTGTACACGAATCCAAATTGGAGACCTCTCGGGAATTGGGGACCCTATTGTCCTCTATTGTTCAACGTCCCCTATTGAATGCAGAAACAAACTCACACACACATCTTCGTAAACACTGGCAATCGTGGACCCCCTATTGTCTGTAATCCTCATTCCTTTGTTTGTACTCTCCAACTTTTTAGCAACAGCTCTCATTGGTCTTGTACAAGAATTTCAATCGTGGACTATCGGTCAATCATGGACGTATTGTTTGTGCCCTAACCCTTTTTTCCTAGGTCAACGATTGCCGGCGTTATGTACACAGTCATACTCTACCATTACATCTAAGGCATTGTGTTTTCCTTTGTTCCTAAGATATTACACTCTCCCATAGCCTAAGCACACAGACTTACATTCGAGGACCACAAAAGAGGTACTTTCAAGGACAACAAAGAGTCTGTTGCTCTCTCTTTGTCTTGCTGTCCTAGGAATGTATGTAATACATGCTCGCACATACATGTACACACATAGAAACATTTGCGCTTGATACTATGGTAGTGATATGATATTAAGTTTGTGATTAGTTAGTAGATAGGCCCGAAATTGCTTACGCCGACCAAATCACAATTCACATGCCCACAAATTCTCCGGTATTAGAGCATTTTGTGGGCCATGAGCTTGAGGGTTTGTAAAAAAAGAAGGTTGGAAGCCGTGAACAGGACTGCAAGCTCGCATTTCTGTGAAATTCAGATGAAATTGGGCCCTAAAATTGCTCTATTTTGCACTGGAGCGCAGGCATCATTTTTCAATACGGCGATGGGCTACAAGACTACTTTCAAGGGTGATTACCTGCGGATGGAATTTTCTCCAAAAGTCATTGGTTAACCCCCAAAACTTTTGAACAGAAAATGAAAGATGATGAAACAAGCTTTAATTTGATGTGTGTCTCGCACACCTTGGAGACTTGCGAGTATTTTTCCTGCATTTCGACGTGGGCGTATTTATCACTGATGTCTATCGCAGTAATTTACTGCTCTGCAACCCTAATTGACTGCATAGTTGGTCAGGATTGGTCATGTCTTCATACTTCAACTCACCTTAGCTTCTTGACCCAGTTTCATATCCTCCACAGGTTTCTTGAGTTCTTTAGCCATCTGCATCTCCAGCATCCGATGCTGCAACTTACGATCCTTCTTGGCTCTCTTCTCGAATTTCTTCTCATTCTTCTGCCTTTCCTTCTCCTAAAACAACCAACAACAACAGCAATGTCAGCTTTTGTGAGTGAAGTCAAACCCTGAAACTTTTTCGTTTACGAATTTTGCTTCCAAATACCAAATTGTTCTATGCAGAAATTTTGTTTTGATGGTACATCCTCATCATGGCCACTAGTTATGAAACAAAACAAAAAACAGAACATGAAAACCTCAAAAAAATAAAGTTACACAGTGAAGAATGTCATAGTCCCCCACTCGGTAACTTCCTAATATGTTATGTACAGATGTGTTTTACCAATTACAATATCACCAAAACCTGTGCATGAATTTTGTCTGTTTATTCAAAGAACGTTATGAAAATGGGCCCAATGTTATAGCGAAGATGCATTCTACAGTAATCTCCAAAAAAGTGTCCGTCTAAAAAAAATTTTAAAATAAGAACAAAACCACGGAGTAAATTTTGAAAAAGTTTAATTGTCAAAAAATGTTGTTGTGATCAACTGACCATTGTGCAGTGGGGCGTTAGGGAAATTAAATAAAACTCATAGGGGTTGAGGCCAAGGATTGGGAGTATCTGCACAATTAAACATTTTCAAAATTACTTTGTGGTTTTTGTTTTTTATTTTTAAAAATATTGGGACGGACAGTTTTTGGGGGCCATACTGTTTATCTCGTTAAGACTGACCTCTTGTTTCTTCCGTGCTTCAAGGGCTCTGACTAGCATCATGTGTTGTTTCCTTCTTTCACGTTCCTTAACATTCCAGAAGAAACCAATAAGCATATCAATAAGGATTTGATTAGCAATCAATTTACATTCAGTACGTCTTCATAATACTTGCGTACCGGTCCACTGCATTTTACACTGAATGTGCATGCAGAACAAAATGTGACAATGATCATGCTGTTTCATTTGAACTTGTTAAGTGCAAATGAGAGATAATTTATGGCAAAACGTCATTTCAAATATAGGAGGCTTTATGCCTTTTGTGGCAATTGTTTTTTGTGAGTTTTGAATACGGTAGTTTTCTCAACCACAATTCTGAAAAACCAATATCATAATTTTATCCTTTGATTATCTAAATTTGTGATCACTTTATGACGGCGCTTTTCACTTTTATAAAAAAAAAATCCAGATGCTGTTTTCTAAAAAGTATATTAAATAGCCAAAGAAAGAGATTTTGAAATTTTAAGCATTTTGTTTTGTCCCTCAAATAACAACACGCTCACAGTCAAGTGATATCTTACCATAATTAGCATATGCTTGCGACGTTCACGCTCCTAATATTAAGGCAAACACAAAACAAAATAAAACAAAAAGAACAAAATGTGAAAAACTGCCCCTACTTTCAAAATACAATTTTGGTTGACAGCAGCCACGATTTTTTTTCTCTCAAGTGAATCTACAGCATGCCACAACAACGTTTTTGAGATTTCCAACTTTGACTTATATAATATTTAACAGACGTGAATCAGCCATGCTATATTGTGCAGTGAAAGAAAACATAACTCGACAGTTTTCACAATTCAAACTAAGACAACACATTTTTTTTACTCCAGAAAATGAGAGCCACTTTGTCAGTGTCACGGAGTGGTGAATATGTTAACTCAAAATAAATTGTTGAATTGATATTATTGGGGCCATATACTGCTTCTCGAAACAAAGAAAATGTTCCGAAGACGTGGTTTGTCTTTTCTGACTGGACTCTCATCTTATGGAAACACACACATGGACTAATTCAACAACCACAATCTTGACACCATTTCTAAGAGGTGGTACCTCGAGTATGGTGGCCACCTTAATAATGACTCCTGATTGCGGCTGTATAGGAATTAGTCTTGACACCAGACTTCCTACCTGATGTTTGAGAAGCACAGCATGTTGACGTCTCATTTCACGTTCCTATGACAACCAAAATCAATGACTGATATTAGTGCACTATAAATCCTCTCACCTACGTGGAGGGTACTGGACAATGATGACTAAATGACAATGACTACAGGGAGGTTTGTGCAGGACATATGTGTGGGTCAATGCCAAAGAAATATCAGCCATTCTTAAAATTTCATAATTTATTTTTAACAAATACTTCATTTGTCAGTTCACAACAAAGTTTGGAAAATACAATAACAATCATTTATGAACACATCAAAATTTTGAACAAATGGCAAAACACACGTTGATGGGTTGGAGTCTTATTGAAGGCTTTGAGATTGACCCATGATAAGTGTGCATGAGAGTAAGAAACATGGTCTAATATTTCATATTTGAGTAAAATTCTTGAGATTAATCCTTTCCAGGTGGCTTCGTTCTAGTTTAACAAACCCATTGCGATCGTAATTCCTATATTGCTGGCCTCACAATGCAAACCGTCATATCTTTTATTTGGCAATATTATGTATTTTTTGCCTTATTTCAAGTGGGAGAGAAATGTACTAACTTTGTGTCATCTTTTTCCTTAAAGTTGACATCTTTATACTTTTACTCGCAGTGATCAATTTGTTCGTGTTTTATCTATAAATTTTGATGTTCTTATTGTGTGAAGCATTTTTTTTTTAATAGCAAATGAAGATGTCAATGTGATGATAATTATCTAGGCCATTACATTATTGACCTAAGTGAGCTTAGAAATAAATGCACATGGACAGCCACTCTCCAAAGACAATGACAATTTGTCACTGCGGCAATGGCATTGGCAATCGCTGCAAGTTTGCAATGGCAATATGAACATTGAAATGAAGGCTTTTAATGTTGTGCATTTTTTTTGTAAAGTTTGATTTTTGGTTTTAGATTTCCAAAACGCAGCACGGGACATGAACGTCTGCTATGTCAATTTTTCTTTTTTTTATGATCGCCATGACAACAGACATTCTGGTCAACACAAATATGAAACTTCAGACCAGGCTTCAAGGGCAGTGACATGTGGCACAAAGTTTCAAACAACAGTAAACTTTCTTTTGGATCATTTCTGTAATGAAATCTCCCTAAATTCTCCCTAAATTGTCAAGAGTATGTGTTTTCTAGAAAGTGTTTTACTAGGTAATTTTGTTAAATCAGCCTACAAAATTCCCATGTCAAATACAGATGTTAGTATAATCCTTTGAAAAACAACAAAATCCCCAAAATGGGAGCGTTATAAGATTTACACATGGACTTGTTTGAAAGGACAAGACTGAGTAGAGACGGTTAATTAGAAAGGTTAAAGGTCAAGAAAGCAGGCAAAGCCAGCATAGGTTAAAGCAAAATACGACAAAAATGCAAAAAAAAAGCAACCACAAAAAAAGAAGCAATAATATGAATAACAGCTAACAGAATAAAGTCATCGTGTAGTTGATTTGCAATATAAGCAGCAAAGCATGTAAAAAAAGGCACTGTTCAAAAAGCATGAGCAACCATTCCAAAAACAGCAATTTAAATTTATTTCCCCTTTTTATAAGGTCCAAATTTACAATTTGAGCAGTGTGTTATTTGAGAATATTCACTTGTTACTTGGAATACTGTGTTTTTCTTTAATTCTACGTATTGGCATTGTAAACTTTTGGAGATAATAGCACGTGTTATTAGAATTAAGGTGGGAGTGTGGCCAAGTGGTTAGGGTTCGTGACTCATGATCAGAGGGTCAGGGGTTCGAATCCAGCTGCTGGCCATATGTTGTGTCCCTGGGCAAGCCACTTCACCCCCACTTGCCTCTCTCCACCCAGGAGTACAAATGAGCACCGGCTTTAGCCGGGGAGTAACCTGAGATGGACTAGCGTCCCATCCATCGGGATTAGAAATATTCTCAGTCATTTCATGCTACTGAAACCGGAGATATACGCCGGCCTGATAGGCCACATTGGCTCGTGACAGACTTTACTACTTTTTTACTGATTAGAAATTATTAAAACTTTGTCCAAAAACAAAAATCCTTTAAAAAAATCTTATTGTGAGCTGTTACTGATGTTCACAGAAAATTCTGTCCACAACTTGAGGAAAACATTATACTTCTCTTTCATTGACACAAGAAACACAGCAAACCGTGAAACTAAATAACCCACAAACAGTAATTCAAAACTCTGACAAAAGATACAAAACCTGTTAATTAACAGACCAAGAAATCCCACACCGAATAAACCTACACCAAACACACCCTAACCATCACCCAAACAAACCCACAAAAGACCTGAAAATTGCCTCACAAATTGAGCAGAAGACAAAAAAGAAGACAAAAATGAAATGAAATGTTCTGGGTGTTGGCTGATAATGGACAAACCTTGGCACGTTTGAAGGCATCCACCATTTTGGACTGGGATTCGGCCTGTTTTCTTTTTTTACGATCCTGTGCATGCAAAACAGGAACCAGTCTCACAAAAAAGTACACACACCGGTTATGGAATCTCTTAAACCTAGTTACAATTACATGTGATTAAACTGTTATAGTTGATGATTGCTAGTTAATTCATATACGTGTGCCTGTAAAATGGGACTATCCTGTTTTAAAAACCATAACAATTATCATCTTTTTTTCTGTTTTTTCTGTTTGTTTTTTTTGTACGTTTACATGATCAAATGATATGAACTTTTTACCCAGATTGACAGGCTTACAGTCATTCCGTCACACACTATCTTGAACATACATGCAAACAGTTCAAGATGGGGTAGTTTATTTAATGTTTGTTTACTAATTCATTGGGTTGGTTTTTTTTGGGGGGGGGTGAAAATGCTTTCCTCTTTTGATGTAAAATGTGAAAAAGTAGTTGTTTTTCATGCAGAGGTCTTACTTTCTACAACACTAAATTCTACACTATTTATACATATTCCTTATTGGAAATGGACAAACATTTCGTAGTAATTTGTAAAGTGATGTCAGCACACCTAAAAAATGACTGAGATAATGTGCAAAATAAAATGCGTAACAGAAAAAAAAATGCATGAGAGAAGATACATGTGGTAAAATGCTTTAAAGGAGTTGGTCATATAAGACAGAATACAATCAGATGGCCAACAACAAAAAACAGAAAAGAAAAAAAAAAAAAAGGCTGCTGCAGCATTCCATTTGATGCTGAGTTGACAACAAAAAAACAGCTGATACATTTTACAGTGAAATTACAGGAAGATGGAGAAAACAGAGCATGTTTCTGTCACATTGGAACGTGTGAACATTGTGGCATTATGTGTGTCTCAAAGAGGAATTGAAAATACCCTAGTGTGCATGCAGAGTCTCAGGGAGGGAGTCAAGTCCATCACAAGTCCCTGCAAGTCCTTCACAAGTCCTCCAGTCCCAATAAGCCATTTGCAAGTGACCTCTTTGAGACTTAAATACGAAAAACATCTGGTACACTGACTCGCTCAGAATGCTTGGCACATTTTAACTTTGAATTCTCCAGACCAAAGACACTGTTGCTAATCACACGATTCGGGGCAAGCTCTTGCATAGTTACGTAAGAGACGCTCAGCACCAATACATTGTTCACAATGGGTGAGAATGGCACAAAGACACCAGACCATTCCGGAGCTGGGGGGGTTGCTAGCATAAGGCTTGCCCCGAATCACGTGATATAGTAACAGTCTCTTTGGTCGGGAGAATGCAAAGTCAAAACGTGCAAAGCATTGGATTAAGTCAGCATTCCAGATTTTATTCAAATTTAACTCGCAAATGGCTTATTCAACTCACTGTCCCTTTTTCGAACGAGATTTGACAAAGGCATTCCTTTGTTATCATCCACTTTTGACCTGTGAATGTACTTGTGATGGGCTTGATAACATTCCTGCAGAGACAAGTCATGACATACACTGGCTAGTGACCATCACAATGCATGATGATCATTTTGGATCCCAGCGGAATATTTCATCATCGACACAACGAACTAACACTCGGTGGTGCGTGAGTGCCCGGTACTTTACAGAACCGCGCAATTTTGGTTTTCACGAAATGACACCCAAGTACTACAGTGCGCACTCCGTGCATTTTCATTTTCACAAACTGAAACTTGTTCTTCATTTCCCCAGTTCAAAGATTTTGAATTAAATGTTTCTGTAAAACCCACAAGTATACGGATGGAGTCAATTTGTGTCAAACATTTCCAAGCGTTTTTCTCCGAATTATATTTCTGCCATATACTTTCAGTTCGTGACAACTTATCAGGGTTTGACTTTAGCGGTAGCCCACTAGCCAGATGCTAGTCAAAACAGCAGCGGGTTAGTCACACTATTCCTTAAGTAGCCCGGCTGGCGAGTCAATAATTATTGGGATACAGCAAAGATGAAAGGACAGGGAGAAATAAATCATTAAATTCAGAAAGCAAACCTGTATCAATTTGTGTCCAATTTTAATAACTGTTTAAGGTTAATTATTTGATCTGTTTATAAAAAATACCGACAAGATTGCCTCAGGATACACGTTTTACATGTATGCACATTGTTGTTTATGAGACACTCTATAAAAGAAAAACATGCGGGCTAGTGAAAATGCCTGCGGGCTAGTTAAGAGTCTGTTTCAGTAGCCCGGCTGGCTAGTGAAAAAAAAGTTAAGGTCAAACCCTGAACTTATTGTATAACGAGTCAGTGTACGAAGTGCGCGCGCACATCCACGTGTCAATTCGTGAAACTAAAATTATTGATTATGCGGTTTTCATGAACTGAAAGCACACAGTGCGTGCGTGTCAGTTCATGAAAACGGTGACGATTTGAAAGCCAAACTTGAAACTTGTTGAAAATTACAACTTTTTTGATACTTTCCCCATCCTTCCTACCCCCACCCCAAAAAAACCCCTGATGTTGAACCCCAGAAAAGAATCAAAATTAAAGTGACATTTAATGCTCTTTTTTTTTCTCAGAGAAAGTGAAAGGACAAGACAAAAAACAACATCACAAGAAGCAAAGAAAAGAAACAACCAGCCCATTATGTATCCATGGTTACAAGTTTGGTGTGTGATTACTATGCAGTGCCGTATCACATGTACTGCACATTCCAACATTAAAAAACCAGCGTAACAACACGTGTTGAGATTGCAACTCTTTTTACCCAAAAAAAGATTGAAAATACTTGGGACGGGACCTATTTTGAGTAGCCATTTGATATCAATAGCCATTGCATTATTCCATTCACGGAAAATCACAAAGATCTCAAGTCACATATTGTACAGTTAAAAAAAGAGTTTTTCTTTTTAGACTAATGGGGCTTTACGTGTTCAACTGGGGTGGGGCTAGGTTTATTGATCAGGGTCGAGAAAAATCCTGTTACTTTTTGAAATACGCTTATGGGTTTTTAATATCCAAATAGAAGAAATAATACAGTAAAATAGTTTTGTTGAAAACTGATTGACTGTGTCCGTAAAAGAACATAATCAATTCGACTAAAACTTGAGCAACCATCAGATATTTGCTGGAGATGGAATTTGACGCTGGGACGGGTCAACTGTTTTTTTAAGTTTAATTCACTTCTCTGGGGCATCGTTAAATCAAGAGGTGCAGTTTGGAGGCAAGAATTGAGTACAAGAGAAAAAGGCGGCCCGTACCTGAAATAGAGATTGTTCAGTTGAAGCCTGCATCTGAAAAGATTCCAGTTGATACTCAAGATTAACAAGACAAAACCATTCACACCTTATGAACATATCAATTATTCAAATTAGTTTTCTTTTCTTTTTGTTATCATCTCGCTGGTCAATGTGGGCATGATTGTAACAGATATATTTATGATCAGGTAACGTCTGAAAACCATCGTACATGCAATCATTGTCTTGCCTTTATGAACTCAATTCAAGACTTGACCTGTGAATCCAACTTCTTCAAAAGGGACAGAACCATTTTTTTTTTTTTTTTTTTTTTTTTATTCTTCAACAATTTTTCGACATTAACTTTTACAACTGTTTGAAACAACAAAATCTGGAGCTGAGCTCAAGGTAGTGATTTCATTTCCATGGTGATATTTACTAACGTGAACTCCTTTTGAAAATTAATCACACTTCAAATTTTTGGCAAAAAGGGAGACTTTTTCAGATTTCTTAGAATTTTTTTGAAATCTTATCTTTCACATTGTTGATTTGTATTTTTAAAGAGGGGGTTATGTTCCTTTCTTTGTTCCTGTGATGACAAGACGATGACATTAGCTAGTGGTCCAAGAAGACAAAAACAAGCGACAGAGAGACTTAAAGAGGATGGGTCAGTTGCTGACTGACAAGGGGGGGAGAAGAGAATGAGATAAGAGAAGTCAGATGACAGGAAGGGACTCGGGAACAAACACTGAAAATATCAGTCAAGGTGGAATTCGGAAAAGACAAAAAAGAAAATGTATATGAAATTTTGGCTTTGTGTTGGGACGTTGTCGACAACAGTTTCTGAAAAAATTGAATTGTCCACAATTTCACGAAAGCCTTTGAAACACACAAAAAAAGAGTGTTGGGCATCATTTTGATGAAAAAAAAAGTCAAAAGCTACACAAGGATGCGACATCACCATGACAACAAGTTACCTCCACCATCTGGTGTGCTCGCATCTCCCGTTCCATGCGGAGTTGCTCCATCCTGGAACGCTTCTGCTGCTGCTTCATGAAGAGACGGTGCTCCTTGGCACGTCGTTTCTCCTCTGCGGCTTGGAGCGCTGCCAAGTACAAATTATTCGCATGTGAAATGTCACGTGATATTGGGTCTCTGTTATGTAGGGAGGGGCAAAAATCTTGAAACATAATAAATGTGAGCGGATGCCGTGAAATAGACCAGCCTACCTTGTTGTCTCCTTGCCTCTCTAGCCAGATGTGCCTGCTGCTGCCGTTCCAGTTTACGCCTCATCTTTGCTTCTTGAATTCTCCGCACCATATCTGCTTTGTATCAGCGGAGAGGGAGAAGGATACACACGGTCATAATGAATCTTAGTCCGTGTGACAAAGACGACATGCACACTGTGATTACTAGAGTCATAACGAGTCCAAGTCTTTATGACAAGGACAAGGCATACACAATAACAATAGACGACTGGCTTTATGACAGTCTTTATGATGTTGTCGTAAGAAATTTCAGCATTTATGCCAAAGTCATAAGGAACGCTAATCCTTATGACACAGGCAAGTGCATTAGGTCTTTAAGACACAATCATACAGTATGTCAGTCCTTTTGACAAGGACACGACAAACAAGGTCATAATGATATCCCTGTCTTTATGATACAGTCCTACGGCTTCTACTGCCCCCAACCTTGGTGTTCGATCTTCTTACGATGCTTGACTTCGGCGGCGCGTCGGGCCAACTCCTGGGCAATGCGTTTCCTCTCGATGTTCTTAACTGGGCGGCCAGGGCGCGGCTTACGTCCCATCAGGATATTGATTCGTTGTTGGAGTTCACCCTCTGTCAACTTCTCAAAGATGATTCCCTGGAGACAAGGGAAGAAGAGAAAAAGGAATGATAATCTTGGTAAGGGCTTCATGTCCCAAAATCGGGCAGCACTTGGTAAAATAAATCCTTTGACGGACCTAGGAGAATTAGCATAGACCAAGAATAGTCTGGTTCCCAGACCAAAAGATTCTGACTATTTCTGACAAATCTTAGGTCAGGCAGCCGCCATTGTCACGTGACCATAACGGGAGGAATTCCTTCCGTTTCCGAAAATGTCCGAAGTTTGCCGAATGCATTTCGTCAACACTCTTGGATAGCGCCCACATATTATAAAATAGGTTGTATTTACCTGCCATGCTTATTAAGAAGAAAAAATTAAAAAATTAGTTCATATATTCACTTCTTGCATTTAAAAAACTTGAAATTCAATGACAACTTTGTGCATCAAGTATGCACTCGGATCGTACAAGGGGCGAGCTTTGCTGCGTCATGTTCTATTTTGGATCTGACGACGGTTACCTAGGGGTATTCCAAAACTCGGCTTTCGTCTCCATTTCGGCTTCGCATGCTACATTTGGGTCCCTTACTTTGAAGACTCCAACTAAACATCAGTCAATATTTTCTTACAGAAATATCAAAATGTATGATATATGAAGCAAGTGATTCATTTTTAATTTTAACGGAAAATTAAAAGATTTTAATGATAAAGCCAAACCGGAAACGAAGTCGAGCTTTGAGAAAGGGCCATCATGATTTTTTTTATTCGTGGCAGCTACCTGACCTACAATTTATAGACGTCAGGGCGTTGGGGAATTGTCAGGTCAGGGAACCAGACTGAGACCGAGAACTCAATGACAGTCAATACTTACCCCGACATTCTCGCTGTCCGGTTTGGGGTTCAGAAACTCCCCGATACGGATCTTAGCACTGAAGCTAAAGTGTTCCCGCCCAACGTCGACAATCCCACGTCTCTGTATGTACCTCATGACCTCAGGATAAGTCCGGAGTTTCTTACCACAAGGACCGTAGTACAGGACGTCACCTTTGACCCGGTCACCGGGTCCCAGCTGACGGATGATGACCTGGCGACGCCATCCACGGGACAATGGACGGCGCACAGCTCTCTCGTCTGTGACACGGAGACGTTTGCGTTGTACGGCTGCGAACAAAAAAGCAATTGCAGCATTCATTAGAGGGGTGCCCTACAATAGTTTTAATTGACAAACCATGTGTTACACCTGGGTACTAGACTTGCTCTGCATGGCAAAAGTACTCTTGTGCCTCGGGCCATCTTTTTCTTTAATTGATTGAAGTGAAAATGGTCATGTGACTCGGTTTCAACTAACAATCTGAATCTCCTCCATCTTATGATAACTACTCTTTGTTCTCATGATACTTTTTTTTTGCCTTTGATGGAAATAAATGTTACTGACATTAAAATTGAACTTGAGATTGAATTCTAAGTTGACAGTCAGATACTGTCTGAGAACATTTCAAGACCCCTTAGTATTGTCAATGTTGTCAACCTTTCTTGAGCATACAGAGTGCGTCACATGTTTCAGGTTTATAGGAACCATGCAATGTAATTTTTTTAATACATACAATCCTTGAAAATGCACCTTTGTGTCCCATTTAACGATATATTCAATTGTGCCTCTTTGGTTTTTATGCTAATCCAATTTTCCACATTCATGAGCAAAACTGTGATGTCATTCCGGGCAGAAACCTCACTGTTACAGCTATTTCAGCACAAAAAGTTGCAAGATTTTTAAAATATTTTGCTGTCATAACTTTTCTTTATTTTTTGGGTGATTTGTTTTTGTGTAAGTACATGGCGATAAATTATAAAGCAACCCTTTCGTCACAAACGTTTTCAATGAGCAAATTTTGGGTTCACAATTTGAACAGAAAACTCCTAAACTGAACAGTGTCCTCCTGAAATGACATCACATTAACAGCGTCCTCAGTTGTTTGGAAAAGCATGGAAAAACTTTTAATGTTTTAAAGAAGTGCACTTTTCAGTAAAAAATAACCAAAAAGGGATGTCAAATAGTTTTCATACATTTAAGAGGAGTAGAAAGTTGCACAAAATATGTTCCTGAGGAAAAAAAATCACTGCATGGACACTTTAAGCCCAGCCATTTTAAGCAGGTATCCAAACTTATCTTGGAATATACCCCCAAAAAACTTGAATGTCTCAATGTTCACTCACAAAACTTTGGCATTAAAAAAGACAACCAAAACAGGGACCATATTCAATCAATGCTTTCAACAACAACAAAAACAGAGACAAACTAGATTTATGTTTGTGGACAAACACAGGGCTGTTTCGGTAATTTTTTGCGACGTGTGACATGTAAAGTTTCAAGTATAAGTTCCATCAAGGATGTGTAATTCTGTTTATAATAAATGGTGGCATATAATATGTGATTACATTCTCATAGGGCTTTGAATTATGACGTCACATGTCACGTGATGACGTCATCATGAAGTCACTTCAATTTTCATCTATAACACATCCCAGCTTAGGTACATACCAAGTTTCAACCCGATCGGACTTGCAGTTCTGGAGACATAGGCCTTCAAAATATGTTAATTTTATATGACGTCATATGTCACGTGATGACGTCATCATGACGTTAAGTTAATTTTCATCTATAAGACATCCCGGTCTAGGTACATATCAACTTTCAACCCAATCAGACCTGTAGTTCTGGGGATATAGCCCAATCTGTCAGATCTAGCCGAATTCTGCTAGAAAATGGTCACAACAGAAAAATCGCATATAATGTGACGTCACGTGACTTGTGATGACGTCATGATGACGTCAATGTTCGGCACACAACTTCAGATGCTGGTCTAAGTGTGTGCCGAGTATAAAGTCAATCGGATTGATTTTATTGCCAAAAGTGCCTCCCACTGTAAAAACGTGTACAAATGCTATGAGGAATGGCTGAAAAAGAAGGGGGGAAAAAAGAAAAAAAAAAAACTTTAACGAAAACAAAGGCTGTCTCGGCCGGTTGCCAAAACAGCCAACAAATTAATACAAAGCATGTCAGTAGAGCACACTATACCATGTTGTGACAGCCACAGTACACGGACGGCAAACCTCCCTCCAGATATAATGACGGCATTATTACTCACAATCTGGGGAACTGTTTTATCAGCATAATGACGACTATTCCAGTCTGGCTATTCTGAATGTCAACGGCCTTGTGTGACCTTTGTCCAGCTTGAGATTGATATATTTTCCTTGTGACTAATCAGCAGAATGGACAAATTTAGGAATGCCTGCTTCAAGTGGGTGGGTTTTGTACAGGAAAGCATTCTACAACCTAAATACATAGAAGGGTGACTTATTAAAGGCGTAATGTTGTGATGTCTTTACAGCTTTAACATTCTCAAACCCAAAAGTTGTTTATAGTTTGATCTTTCATTATTTCTACGTTAATGGATAATGAGCTAAGAAAAATCCTCTTCAATATCATTTAAATTTTACAGCATTTTCTTTTATAAGATTAATCAGATTTCTATGGATTTTCATGGCATAAATTTTGTCCAACTTTCAAGAACTTTCTTAAAAATTCTTATCACTTTTTCTACATCTTCCATGACCTTAGAACTTTCTAAGGTCTGGAAAAACTTTATAAAAGTTGTAAATTTCAAAACAGTTCAGAGTTAACTCAAAGACATTCCTGAGATTGCCAACATTTACTCCAGACATCTATGTACGTCATTGTCTCCTCTGATAGTTGTCTGACCTTTCAAAGAATGGAAATAACAACAAGAGTGTTTATCAAAAACATGACATTAATATTACGAGCTTACGCATGTATGCCGCAAACATGGCACTGTCGTGGTCAGCTTTGCGTTTCAGAAAGACGTTCATTGGCATGGGACTGCTCTCCGAATCTCTGGCCATGGCGCTAGTGTCCGTGTCTTCCGAGTTCTCAAACCGATTCCTTTCAGAGTCATCATCATCGTCATCGTCATCGTCATCATCTTCGCTCTCCAAGGCAGAGTCAGAATCTGATGAAACTACAGGGGTATTAGAAATCAAAGAGAAAAGACTTTGACAAATACTGTTGAATAATGAGATAATTTGCAAATAAATTACACTTTTGTTCACGTCTTTTAACTATGTTATAGTACAGGGCGGTCCAAAAAAAAGGTTCACACTTTTCCAGATGCAGATTTCTCAAAATTGGGGAGACATGTTTAAAAATGTTTTAAGATATTCCTAAACTACAAGATCTTGGTGGCATATGGTGTAAATGGTGTAGAAAATAAAGCCTAAATTAAGAAATGGTGGCCATTTACAGAGAAACAGGTCAAAAATCAATTAGTCACACGCAAGTCTATGAAACTTGGTCAAAACAACAGCACTGCATGCTGCATGGTTTTTTTACCATTTTCCGTAAATGGCTGCCATTTTTTAATTTAGGCTGTATTTTCAATGTCGTTTTGACCTTGTACATGTAGTTTAGGAATATCTTCAAACAATTTCAATATGTCTCCCAAATTTTGAGAAATCTGCATTTGAAAAAGAGTAAAGTTTTATTTTGGGACAATCCTGTATAGTAGTTATATATTGCCACAATATTTAAAAGGTCTTAATATGGTGGTCATTACATTTTACGTCCATGTACATTTCAATTGTCCTAAATTACTTTTCTCTCTAATATTGATGGTTAGTTTGCTTTTCATTTCTTTTTCTTTTGTTATTCGAAATCAATGTACAATGGCTCGGGCATCAAATTCATAACAGATTTTGGCACTACATAAACCTTTTCATCATTTCTACTAAGAAATTTAACATGTACATTTCAACTGACAAAAAAGTAAGCTTCCTTTCTAATTTTGTTAGTTTAGTTTGTTTTTCTTTTCTTTTTCTTTCGTTATTTAAAATCAATGTACAGAGCCTTCAGCATCATGTTGATGTCAGATTTTAGCGCTTCATAAACCTTTTTATTTATTTCTAATCAGAACTTACCATCCTGGCAATCGTCAGATGCCCCAGTGATATCCCCAACACTATCGCTGTGTTCCCCGCCCTCCTTGTCAGCCGTTGACTCCGTCTCCACCTTCTCGGACTCCTGTGGCTTGGCATTGGCCTTGGAGGACACTGAAGGAGCTGGCGATGTATCAACGCTGGGGTCGCCAGATTCTGCGGGGGTCACGGTGCCCTGTGTTCCATTCACCTGCTGGCAAGTAAAAAGCTTTTTTTAATTGTTTGTTGGGTTTCTTTCAAGGTGCCTTCCAAGAGGTTTTAGAGTACAGCCTGTCTAAAAAAAAATGGTACAATCAGAAAAAAATTGGTTAAATAAGAAATTTCAAAATAAGTCATTCTTATTTGGCATAATATTAAAGAACAAAGACTGGGCTTTCCAATAGTGTTTGTTTGATCTTATTTGCTTTTGTCAATTCAGAGATATAATCAATTTAGTGCGATACACCAAAATCGATTTTGTGCCACTTTTTATGCATGGGCAGAGTTGTTTCGAGTACTGGCTGTGCCATGCTGTCTTGAAGCTCACAAAGATTGCAACTTGGCAAAAGAAACAAACTCGATTTTTGTGTTCCGCAGTAAACTGGAGTTATCTCTGGATTGATAAAAGCAAATGAGATGAAACAAAAAGTATTGGAAAGCCTGGTCTTTTTCTTAATGTGATGCTCAAAACGACTTACTTATGTTGAGATTTAATATTGAAACAAAATCGTTTTCGATTGTACCATTTTTTTGTTAGACAGGCTGTATATATATTAATTGCTTAAACGAGCAGCCAGACTAATTCTGAGCAGCCATTCACAAGTTTGTCTGCCGATATATGTTCACTTCGCTAAAATGGCTCCAATAATCAAAAGAATAATCTGTAGGAAAGCAGTTTTTCTCTTTAAATGTTTAAAGGGAACAACAATTGCAAATATCAAAAAACAAAACTACCGCAACCAAATTATTACAAAAATCTTACTGGACTGTTAGTGAATGACTGTCTAAAGCATCTTGTGAAATCGTATATATTATTTTGTAGCATTTTTCTATCAGTTTTTGTGTTTGCTTTCAGTTTTGTTTGAGTATTTGTTTTTTTATGTACATGTAGTCTTGTTTTACGTGATTTTCTTAAACTTCTTAAATTTGTCAGGGATAAATGTTTCTTTTTATATATACTTTCTAAAAATTCTTACACATTTCTCCGCACTCAAATCTCCCTGTTTGTATGTACATGTGTTTTTTTACTCGCGTTATTTTCTTTTTTAGCTCTATTTTTATTTTAGTAATGCTTTTTGCTGCTGAATTGCTTTTATCTTTTCTTTTATCATTCTTTTTTATTATCAGTTTTTGCTATTTGAGTTAAAGATATAGTCCATCATTTGTAATTTGTGCATTTTGTTCGTTTGAAGCAACAAAAGTGTTCAAAATCTAATGAAGGATATATTCTGTAGCTGTATATTCCGAGAAAAACAGCATTCTAGGATCTCAATTTCAAATCAAAAGTTGCTGAATCATGTTTTGAACTGTTTTGAATTGCAGCTATACGCGATGTCGCGCACTGATCCGCGCGCGCCTTTGCGTCGTGCCAATGCTTGCGCGCGCTGCGCCGAATAACAAAACGAACTACTAATTTAAATTTTCCTACGGTGCGTCTTAAGACGCACCGTTGGAAAGGCCTTCTTTCGTTGATTACTTCAAAATGATAGCTTGCCAGAAAGATTAATTTTACAGGGAGTTGAGTCCACTTACTATCTTTCAACAAAGTATGTTTTTCAACAATAATACGCCAGTTACTCTTTTGGATGGTTGCAAATGATGGACTATAGCTTTAAGAGCATATCATTTCATTGTTTTTAAAGTTTTTTAAGTCTTCCATGTTTAAAATTCATATTAATTAGTTTATTTAAATGCAGGAACCTAATAAACACTAGCTTTTTGCTATTTGGGTTTACCCTGGATAAATAAAGGAATAAATACATAAATAAATAAATATGTACATGAAGGGTTCAGTTGCTTACCAAATTAATTTGGATTTTTTGCTGGTTCCAAATAGTTCATTTAAAAACTAGTCCAACCATGGTAGATTCAAAATAGTTCCGTTTATTTGGTATGCGCGCGCGTCGCTATAGCCATGCGCGTCGGCAAAATTAATTTTTTTTCAATGTAAGATGATGTCTCAAAACCGCCAAACTCACTGGTTTGACTGGAATCCTGCTGCTGCACAATTTTAACGTGTTTTTAGATGGGGTTACGATCGAGTATAAGCTTTATGTGGCCTCTCTGGGCTCCCATATATTTTGCACTGAATTTAGTCGGGCACCATTTGCAGTCATCAGCCGACATTTGAAGGGGGGAAAAAAAAAAAAAAAAAAAAAAAAGGTGCGTCACCGCACCACTTTTTGGGCAAGCTCCATACCAGAAACCGAAGACCTTTTATTTTTTGGCCTAATAAAGTCATTTGCAGTTAATTCATGTCATGTCTTACCTGTAATTCCAGATTCTTAGATATCTTTTGTCTCTTCTCGCCCCTTGGTCTTCCTCTCATCTTCCCTCCTCTACCACCACTCTCTTCTCTGTTCTCCTTCCGTGGCCTGCCGGGTTTCAGCTTCCGTTCCCTCCCTCCGCCGGCCGAGGTCTGACCCCTGTCTAGTCGGGCTCTCTCAGCCAGCAGGTGTTTCTCTCGCTCAGCTTGGGCCCTCTTCTGCATCCGCAGATGCTGCTGCTGTTCCTTGATTTGCTGCTCAAACTGCAGCGTTAACTGCTCCGCCCGACGCTTCTGTTCTTGCTCTCGGAGCAGCTGCTCGTGTAGCTCTTTCTCCGTGGGCACCGTGTCTTTAAGCTGCTTCCGCTGTTCAAAAAAGGAACATGATTTTCCATACAAATTAAACACAGCCGTCACAGGATATTTGATGAGAATAGCTATTTTCACTGCAGTTACCTGAATCTTAAGCATTCAAACTTGCTCAACAGTTGCTTCAAGTCTTGTGATATCTTATACGCTTTTGCAAGTGAAGCCCGTATTTCATGAATGACTTTTTGCCTTACGACACAGTGATCAGTCAACATGATGACTTATTTCAGTGTCACGTCAGTTGTAGGCATGCCAATATGATGTCCACATTCAGTGACGTAAACAGCCTCCTTGAAACCAGCACAGAAAGCATAGAAAGCATACCAAATGACCAGAACATCCGACACAGTGCTGACGTTGCGCATTAGTGTTTTGTGTATTCATCTGGCTGTGGAAACATGCAAAGTGTCCTTAATGAGAACACTTATGAAAGACGGGAAACCTGCATGATGACATGGGTTTGTGATCTGTGTATCAAGCAGGGCCAACTACAGTATTTGTCGAGCCTTAGTGTTGTGAAATCACAAAATAAGATTTAGAGGCAATTGATTATAGTTTACACTGATATACAGGGTGAATAAAAAAAGGAAACCAGATGTAAATGTAAATTATAAAAAAAAATCTAATAAATATTTTTAAATACGTTAAAGATCATGTGAAACACCAATGTGTCCTCTTTCCAATGGTACCTTGTTTGTGTGTCTGTGGCCACGGATGACTGAGCATTCGTTGTTATTCTGTCAAGGGTCAAAACCTGTACTGGGCCAAGTTTGTGCAAAAGGGTAACTGGTATTCTAGGCATGTGGAATGGCTTAATTTAAAGAAAGAAGACATTCCTTTCTTTAAAACCATTTATTCAATTTTTGACACAGTGATTTAACAACTCTCATTGTTGAAGTTAACCCCTCGTGGCCCAATGCCTTCAATGTGGCCACCATCTCTTTCCACACTAAGCTCTGCACGACGTCGCATATCGTTTTCAACCTTTACATAACAAACCAGCCAGCAATCTTACCCAGGTGAAACTTGGCTCAGTACAGGTTTTGACGGTGGACAGAATAACAATGAATGCTCAGTCATCCGTAGGTGTTTCAAATGATTTTTAACTTATTTGAAACTGTTCATTAGATTTTTGATAATATATATTTACATCTTGGTTTCTATTCTTTATACACCCTGTATTGCACTCTGGAGAATTGCTGTCGCAAAGTCGCACACACAAAAAACCCAATTATTGAGATTTGCACATTAAAGGGAATGCACAACATTGGCTTTTGCTGCCAGTTTAAGAAATAAATGGATTGGAGGAATAGTATGTTATATAAAATATTGTTAAACTGACTTGTTTCATGTTTTGGGCTTGAAAATACTGGAAAAACCAAGAAAACCTACATGTATCATGTTCTTGTAGTCTGGTTCCCTGACCCCACTTAAGATGAAACAAAGCAATTAATACACTTTGGGGAATTGTAAGATCAGAGAATCAGTCTAGCAGGCTTGTACCCCTTCACAGGTGTGTGATCAATTGCTAAATATGAACAATTAAGAACAGTTTTTGAAAAAAAGCCAGTTTTCTCCAACGCTGGTCAGCCGATCAGCGTTGGAAAAATACAGTTTTTCTTGAAAATGTCAGCCCACCAGGAGCCACGATTTTAAAGGATGTTTTAGAATGTCATTCCCTAACAATTTAGTAAGGTATTTCGTGATAATTTGACCATTTCGTTTTTTTGATGTTTGCAAATGTTGTATTTTCCCTTTAAGGAAAAGTAGATTAGTAGACAAAATGTGAAAGTTAAGATACAACGAAACGAGTATGACTGACAGAAGTCATAAGATATTACAGAACGGACCTGTCAGTAACTCTGTTAATATTACATGAATATGATACCTTTGAAGCTATTTAGAATGATGCATTGAAATGAGCACTAGTCATGATTAAAAATGCATGAGTTAGCTTCCTTCTTCATATGATTAATGGTAGAAAGGAACAGTGAGTAGACCCTGAGTTCCTAGGAATATTTTCCTTGAAGTGAATGCAAAGTTTCTGGAGAAAAAGAAGTCTAATTTCCATTCAAATTATACAGTGCTGCAGGTATTATTAGCCCTAACCCTCCTCAATCCTCCAAAATCCTGCTGCCAGTTTTGGATGATTTTAGAGGATAGGGAATGAATGGCAAAGATGTATCGCTTTTTTGTGGATGCATTACGTCAAGCCAGTAGGCCATATCCTGCATTGGTTATGTTCAGTCTTGCATAAATCAGCCCTGTGTTTTTCTCGTATTTCATCTGCACTGCTTCTATACGCCATGCGTACTGCCTCAAACCATAGCAGTAATTGGCAGAGGATTTTGGAGGATTGAGGCAGTGGTCACCCTCCACAGACTAAATTCAAGAAAATAACAGATGATTTTGGAGGATTGAGGCTGAATCCATTTTTTTTTGGTGGCAGTTGGAGGCTTTTGCAGGATTGAGGTTGCATCCTAGCCAGAGGGCCTAGGGGGGTTAGGGTTAAGTGCCGACAAAACTGCTAAGAAATCTGTAACACAGAGAAGCACCCAAAGCATACCACAAAAGCGTAGGCCAGATATCAAAAAGGTAACACAAATAATTCCTAGTTCATTTTTTTTTTGACTTTGCTCATATTTGAGGTGAGTGAAGTAAAGTGAGAAGTGTTTGCCGCCATCACCTCATAAGCCTCCTGCAATGGGTTAGTAGTGCAATGATCAGTGCCGTCAAATGATGAGGAGGTGGTGGTAATAGGAGTGAGTGAAGGAATGGTGGATGTGCTGATCTTGAGATCGTTAGTAAGAGACTCGGTAGTAGAGACCTCCTGCCCGCTCTTCCGATGATGATGGTGGTGATGGTGATGCGGGTCGCCATGGCGATGCTGATGATGCTTCTTCTCTGCGCGCTGCTCGTTAGCGCCCTGCCCGTGTGAGCCTTCCTTGGGGGACAGCACGCCGGCTTTCTGCTTGCGGCTCAGGGAGCTCTGCTGCTTCTCGCGGATGTTCTTCTGTTGCTGGAGAAGCAGCTTCTGTCTGGCTTCCAGCTCTTTCTTGGCCTGTCAAGGATGGGTGTAAAATGAAAACAAAAATATGTACAAATAATGCAGAGTCTTTGTCCACTCCCTGCAGAGAAACCCTCAAATGTTCTTAACAACACTTACGCATATTAAGGCTATTTTAAGTAAGTTGCTTCCATGTATCAAACAGTCTCGTTCAACTTTATTTGACAAATTTCAGAGTACTTGTAATGTACCCATGCAAACTGCTTAACCCTAACCACCCCAACTCCATCAAAATCCATCCCCCATTTTGGTGGATTTTTGGGAGACCTGGTCCAGGAGGCCTGGCGTGACTTAATATTGATGGAGTATGATGGACTTGGGCCTAATGGCCTGAAGCAGTGCTGGGGGTATCCGATTGATTTTTCTAGCTTCCTGTACTGCTATTGTGATAAAAGCCATGTGTAGCAAGTCCATGAATGTCAACCAGTGCATCAGTGGTGGATTCCATTATGTCATGTACAATTTTGTATTGGAAGCACAGTGATTGATGGATTTTGATGGACATGGGAGTTAGGGTCAATAAAGAAATAAGCAAATTGTGCATTTGTGTTGCTTTCCTTATTCCATTAAATCTTGCTTATACATTTGTATTTTCACGCGAAAGGATTTAGAAAGTAACATTTTGGAAATTCAAGCTTGATCAACCAAGACTCTGCCGACACAATGTGAGGTTGCTGTCCATACCTGCATGATTTCAGCCATCTCTTTCTCATCACTGTACTGATCCGACTCGCTCCCAGAATCCCCGCTGCTGACCTCCGACATATTACTATCAGAATCCCCCGAGCTCAGACCGTTATCACTGCTGTCGCTACTGCCCTGCTTACTGGCCGGGTCTTTGGCAACGGCTGACGGATTCTTCTTCTTCTTAGGGGAGAGAGTGGGGGAGGAGGCTGAGAGGAGGCTAGTCCTTGGGGAGGGGGATTTGGAGGACCGTTGTCTCGGGGAGGAAAGAGACGGACTAGGAGAGGAGACTTTAATGCTCAGTCTCTGTGGTATGGACAAAAAAAAAATGAGGAAAACTACCTTTTCAGGAATGCTTCCATTTCACAAAACGGAAAACACGGGATATAGAATAGAGAACTTAGAATGTTCTACTCAAAATATCCTTACGTGCAGATAAGCAGACCTGTCAGTGAGGCGTTTCATTATTACGACCCTCAAAATTTGTTTTCCAAGAAATTCAGGAATGAGAAGTGGAAAACACATAATTTTATTACTTGTATCTGCCAAACATGATGTTCTCCAGACACTGATAGCAGGACAAAGAATTCATACAAAAAAATTCCAAAGATGGACAATTCAATTTAAAAGATAGTTGTAGGAGTTTGCGGAAGTTTTATCAAATTTTCAAACACATTTCTGAAATAAATGTCCATGATAAAAAGGGTTGGTGGTAGTACACCAGATCTCAAACACACCATCACATCCTGCAGGCAACTTTGCACCTGTACTATCAATCAATCAATCAATCAATCTACCAAACAATCCATTAGTCAATCAGGCCAACCTACCGGCACTTCCTTGATGACTGACACAGCTTCCATGGGCACAGCCAACGGAGCAGGGTGATGGCTAGGCATGGGTAGGATGGTTGGGGCTTGACTCAATAAAGGAACTCGCAGTGGGTTGGGACGATCCGTCTTACGAGGTCTTCCCCGTCGACCGGTGCCCCGTCTTACTGCCCCAGTGCTAGATACGCCGCTCTTGGTTGCTGGAAAACAAAGGAACACGTACATGAATAAGAATACCATCTACCTGGAATATTAGGGGAGTTTTTCAACTTTCCGCACTGACATTAGGGACTCTAGCTCATTATAGACCCACGGTTTGCTTCAGGTGCAACAAATGCTATCATATCAGGCCAAAGTTTAGTGTAATTTCATTTGGCTTGTTGGAATAATTCCCTGAACCATGGAGAAGCTGAGCTGGAGATGGCGCCTAGGTTTTTAAAACTCAAATTGTGAAGTGGTGTGAAGTGGCTTGCCCAAGGACACACCATATGGCTGGCAGCTGGATTCGAACCCCTGCCCCTCTGATGAAGGCTCACAAACCCAAACCCCTCTCCCTGTAGTTTGAGGTTACTTTGAAAGCAAATTAAGAACTTTTTTTATATCCTGCTCTTACTTTTCTGATTTTTGAAGAGTGCATCAAAGCCCGCCACGCTAGCTTCTTTATCGGCGCTGGTGCCGTGTCCGAAGGCCGTAGACAAACCCAGACTGTGGCTGTAGTAGTCATGGCCTAGCGCTCCAAGACCATGAGATTGCTGCCACCATGGGCTGCCACCTTTAGGAAGGAAAAACAAAAAAAACGGTTAAGATTCGGAACGAGAGCAATCCTTAGCATCAAAACTGCTGCACTGAAAAAACTGGGAACTGGATCTGTCTGATCTGTAGGCAATGTGGATGGTTTGGAAAGCTTAGATCGAATTTCATAGCTATAGAATCAGGTGCATCTGTACATGTATGTACAAGTATGTTGAATGGCATTCTCAGTTTACATGTCTTCGTCAGTTCAACTCACTGAAAGCCCTTTCAGTTTTCAGTGCAGCCTACATGTACATGTAGGTCAAATATCGTATTGAAACGATTTCCCAACCAAGAATTAAATGTTTGAATTTTATAAAGGGCAAAAGACAAATATTTACAACTTCCTGTATGTGAGAAAAGTAAATGAAATACATATCATGCAATGTACATTTATTCCAAACACTACTGCGCACAAGCCCAACTGCTTTAAAAGGGGAGAAATAATATATTTCCTGCTCTAATGGCAACTTTACACAAACAAATATCAATGATTGGCCTGCTCATTGAACCTTAATTTCAATTGTGAATACAATACAATCATTCACACCAATAGGTCCGCGTGCACAGGTGCACGTAACTCTTCACAAAATAATTTCCTGTGGAGTTCAAATGTTGTGTAAAATTCCATGCACCATCTGATGCTTGCAAAGTCTGTTATTCAAAGAGGGACTACATGTACGTTCTCTTTGTACGTTCTACATGTACGTTCGTACTTTTGTAAAAGAAACAAACATGAGAACTTTTTCTTAACCTTTCCAAATTTTGGTCAGACAGGTTATTGACTTTTTTCTCTCATTGTGGTGTACGTGCACATGGACATGTACATGTACAACCAATTAAGTACATGTATTTGGATATGTACATAAACCTTTTCATGAAACTTCAGGGTTTTTTTTTTTTTTGCACATTTGATTATGCGCTTGTTCGTCAGTGATAAACTACTGGTTTATCTCCAACCAACGCAATTTGCCTCCGCAATAGCCTGGACATTCTTTCATTGCTATCTGGTTCAAGCATGGGCACCATACACACGTGCAAGTACATTTCTTCTTGTTCCATAATTGTGGGGACTTACACTCGTCTGTGCGAGGTATTTGTGGGGACCGAAAATGCTATGGGGACAGCAGAAAGTCCCCATAACTCGGTCCTAATTTGCCTAACAATAAAAAAACTTCCCCATAACTCTGTGTATGCCTACCCAGTGTACACATGTTCATGTACACAGTGCTGTTTCTTACATGTATATGTGCCCTCCAGCACCAAAACCAGTCATTTGGACCAATTTTTAAAAACTGGAATTTTGGGTTCACTGGATAGGACATGTATACAATAAGTTTTCCAATGATGTGTAGAATATGGGACTCAGACAAAATCTGACAGACTTCCCAATTTTCAGGCCTCGCAAAGTTTTAAAAATCGAAAAAATTTTACATTATTCCCAAATAAACTCCTTTAATAAAGAAAATGTACAAATTAACTTCGATGAAAGTGAAATATATTCATTATTCTGCATGCAGGTGTACCGCACTGTAGCTTTTAACAGTAATCTGAAATTTAATACATGGGGGAACAATGTATTACATGTATCCCTAAATACAGCCGTGTGCCTTCCGATTGGTTTTGTGCTGGAGGGTCACATTAATATACATGTACCGGTACCAGCGTGTACATGTACATCAAACTATCATAATAGCATGAATAGACCCACAGTCAAAGTTTTATCTAAAATGGCAGATGTTCACGACAGGGCAAAAGACAACAAAAACCAAATCTAAGGATACAAAGCAAACTGGCAAGCTGCAGGCATGCATTAGTGAACACTGAAAACATGCAAATTCGTTTGAAAAGAAATCTACGACGAAATAATTGGAGGCGACTATGTGAATGGACACGCTTGAGCAAAAACCACAGAACACAATGAACTTGTACCATAACATCCTTCTGCTACTAAAAGAAAATTACTGAAAAGCTACATTTCTTGTAGACTGGATGGGGAGAAATCTACAGGGGAAAAAAATCAAATTTAATCAAAGAACTACATTGTACATGTATGCACAATGTATCAATGAGAACTGTCACCTTTTCTAAGAATAGAAGTGATCAATCTAAAGTCAATGTGCTACATTAGGCCCAAACAAAAAAAATAGTCTGTCTCTGATCAGACCAAAGTTCCGGAATTGATGTGGCGACGCGTTTTGTTTTTTTTTGGTTTTGTTTTTGCTTTTGTTATTTTTTCAAGCTTGGCTTGTACAGACAGACAAGGTGGGTACTATTTTGTTTTTTTTGTCTCCTCATATGCGTTGGTGTCCTCAATAATTTGCCTTGGTGCCCTCCATCATTTGTCTTGGTGCAATTTCCCCATTCCTTGGTGCTCCTTGGTACAAAAATTTGAGGAGGTGCGGCAATAGAGGGCACTATTGTAGCTACCACGGAAAATTTAAAGGAAAAAAAAAGATTGACGTGCATGATTAAAATCAACACTGACCAAAGACTATTTTTTTTTTTTTTGGCCTTATATAAACCTTTTTCTTTCCATTTCAAAAGAAACTCCCTTAATTCCAGGTAAAAAAGAAAAAATCTGGGCTTGTATTACTTTCTCCATTATAATGGAAATCAGCTCTGTGATTGAAAACTTCACAATTTTTATCCTCCTTTCCAAAAATACAAACAAATACACCCCTCAACTCAAGCAAGTCTGGATTTGCCTAACGTTGCCACCACACATCCAGCAAACTAAAATTGCACAATTGTACTCAACACCACAAAGAGATGCTGGGAGTTTCACACCAACTACACGCTACTAAATCAAAAGAAAATGATGACAAGAAGCGACAGCAACAAAAAAAAGTGTTCTGAGGGAGGGAGGAGGAATACACGGATATCGGATCAAAAATGTTGTAATCACCTAAAGCCGCCAGGCTAAACAACTGAGCGCTGGCCTCAAATGACCACCCTAAGGGTTGATGAAGCGTGTGAAAACAAAACGATAATAATAAAACAATGGATTAGTAAACAGAGCATTATTAACCAGACTCAGAAATATTTCTTCTTAAACAATTTTCTTAATGTTTCTTATTGACTTTTTTTTTGCAAACTTGACGCAATCTTCCAACAAACTTATTTTCTCGATGCTGGTGTGTCAATTCCAGAGCAAACAGCATTTTTGTCACATTGCTTGATGCCAGTCTTTATTGGCGTACATTTTAACAAGACTTATAATACCGGCACAGAATCACTATTCACTCAAATGACAACCCAGTTGAATCAGTGCCTAGAACTGGTCTGTAAGATAATAATCTTATCTGGGAACGTCAAAAAAAGAGAAATGCTTACGCCAGGCATAGGACTTACTTTAAAAATGTGTTGCGCAGCTGCGCAATAAACTTACAATTGATTTCACTAAACTTGGCATGGCTGCGCAACTTTGTAAATAATTTAAACATCTTGGACGAGGATAATAACAGCATTCACGACGGCTGTTTGTGAATGATTTTGGCAGTTCATGAAACAGTCGTTGAATCACCTCAGCCTGCTATTTTGAAAATAATTTGTTCCAACTTTCTTTGGAAGCGTGCGGCAACTCTACAAATTCTATCACAAGTAAAATAGCAATTCATTTACTTCAAACACAAAGCTGTGAGTGTCTTGTATCAACCTTGATACGTTGTGCAATAACAGGCTCCACGACGATCACGATTTGCTGCTAAAATAGGTCATTTTCAGTCACTACGCCACAACACACGCCACCTAAAATCACTGTGCAAGTTACGCCATAATTTATTGCCCAAGTCGCGGACTTAAGCACTATAAACTTTTGTGAAATGTGTCATAAGGAAGTGTTGCGCAACGTGAAATGTTGTGCAGATTACGGAATAAATTGTGGGGCAAGCGGAGTTGCGCCATTACATAAAGTTTTGTGAAATCAGCTGCTGAATGCAGTTTAACGCTGTACGTCATCAGTGCCGAGTAACAAAAGATTTCAATCTCAAACCGTGAAGAGGTTTTTAAGAGAGCGGCTTGCAGACATGTTTTTCACTTTCTCACCTGTGGAGGGGCTGATGGGACTGTGTGTTGATATAGCAGTCGGTGATCGTAGCGGACTATTCAAACTCTCCGACACCAGCGACCCAAGGCCTCCAAACTCTGTCCCCAGCGGTCGACCAGCGGCCGCGGCAGCCGCTGCAGCTGAGTAGGCATTGTGGCCAAACATGGAGAAGGCACTAGGAACGTGGGAGATGATGGGGAAGGAATCGTGGCTGGTTGAAGGCTGAGAGTAGAGGGGCTGACCTGGTCAGAACAAAGTAAACAATCAACAAATAAAAGCAAGATTAAGCAAAAAGTTGAAGAATATGATCATTTATATAAATCACATATTTCCCCAAATTTAACTATCAATGGGTATTATAATCCCTCTGAGCACACCCCTCTCCCCCCCCCCAGCCCCCTTCCCACCAGGATAGAAATATGCCAAAGATTACTTCTTCTTTTTTTCTTCAGCCAAATATTTGAAACCAATGAAGTCTGAATGGCCAGCCTTGGATGGATTTAACCTTGTTTCAAGCCATTTTGGAGGCAATCTGTAAACTGTCAGGCATTGCTACAACTTTGCACGTGGTCAACACATTCAACACGGCCCTGAATCAAGGCTACGCCAAGTTCCTTTCTCATGTATGGATACTCACTGATTTGGGATGTGTCAAAGAAGCTACTGCTGTGGGAGCCAACGGGACTCTTCTGAGAGGAACCCTCTCCCTGATCCATCCTAGCATGCAACAAAAATTGAGGAAAAGAACAAACAAATTACAAAACATGTAGCTTCCTGTACAATAAACCTGAAAAGTTTGATGTACATGGGCTGACTTACGTCTGTCTAGATACCATGGATGAAAAGGACATATTATAAAACAATTTTCAGTTCAAACCAGCTTTACTGCATTCGCTGAGAACACTGAGAAAGGATGATTATTTTCTCCCTAATGGGGAAAATGAAACTACTGGCTTGAAATTTAGTTTGATGTTGAAAACAGTTAATACTGAGGGGTCAATGCTCAAACATTATTTTACATATTTGTTTATACATGTAAATCATGAGGCATATATGCATGGTTTTACATTTGCCATTCTAATGGTTTAAAGCGTACCGATACATGTACATGTACATCCACATGTAGATAAGCCAGATTATTAAATTTGTCTTCATGAATAATGAGCTGTGTTTGTTTAAACCATACATATGTATTATGTTTTTCTGCACTAGGTGTACGTGTACATGCACATGCACAGGGTCTAAATGCCATTTGTTCATACAGCCACTAATGAGCAAATATATGCTGGTGAAAACTACAGGTTCTTTTTTTTTTCGTGGTTTTTGTGTGAGTGTGTCTTGTTATGGCAATTTGCCTCTGTTGTAATTTATCGCGCATCACTTCTCCTCTCCTCCCTGCCCACGGCACCCAGTCAATAGGGCCTATCGCGGAAAGATTGTCTTCATCAATAATTTATGCCGGAAATATTTTTTTTGGTCTTCTTTAAAAATGGAATAACCTTTGTTCATTAGTATACAAGTCTGAGCGCTTTGTAATTAACCCTAGGAAAAAGCAATTTATAAATGTTATTATTTATCATTATTATTAAGACACAGGTTTATATGCACGCACAGCAAAATGCTAATTTTGTCCATAGGGCATAACTAATGCCAATGTAAAATTGACTTAACAAAATTATACATTTAAAAAATTATGTATATTTCCAAATTGACGCAATGCATACAAACTTAAGATTTTATTTTGCTATTCCTATGTTTTGTGTTTTGTAATATTTCCAGTTCATATTTGACATTCAAAGACCAATAAATTTCAAAAAAAAATTTCAAGTTGATTATTCAATTTAAATTCTCAACATGCAGAAAAACACGTGTACAGTAACCCTAACCCCTTGGGGATCTTTTACTAGAAAGTATCCTGTATCCGCCAAAATCCACCAATTATGTCACGCCAAAAATGTTGGAGTTGGTGACTGCTCAATATTGCGGTATCCTGAATCCATCAAAATCCTGCAGTACCGCTAGGCTTACAATATTCAATCCATCAAAATTCCCCCGTTTTCAATATGGATGTATCCTGAACATGCCAAAATTCTCCAAAACAGGGGTATGGATTTTGATGGATCCAGGGAGGTTCTCAGGGATAACGGCCGTTCAATGGAACTTAACTTGGCCACTAAACATTTGTCAAAATTAATTAATGAAATATTAATCAATTCACTGAAATGTTCCAGTGTAATCTTATGTATAAACTTATTATATGAAGATACCGTAGCTAAAGTAGTGAAAGTTAGCAAAAGTACGTGTTCACTACATGCATATATTTTATATGTACGTCTTATAATTATGTGCATATCAATGTGTATACACACTGTTACGATTAATAATTTAATAACAAAATGGAATTACAAATGTAAGCACAAGTCTATGACAACTGATGGCAAGCCTGATAATTTGTTCAGCATTTTGTGCAGCTTGCATATTGAATTACATTACTCCCATCTATAATTTACATTTTGTAATAAATTAACCCCTCCCATGATTGTTCATTGAAAGAATTTGATTACATTACATACTGTAGTACCGGTAAATATATTATAACTCTTAAAATGTCATACTTTAACCCACCGATAAAACCAGTAATCCTGGGAAATAAATTGAATCTCTGAGGTTAACTCCACAGAAATTTAGAACACGATTATTGCTGTCTTCTCTTACTGAGTTGATTAAGAGTAATAAGAGCACAAACATTCTACATACGTGGAAGGATACAGTGTAGTATTTTCAAGGTTGTTATTAGTTTAAAGGTAGAGTACTATCATTGTCATTTTGTGCATTTTTTTTCATTTGAAGTAACACAAGTGCTCAAAATCTAAAGAAGGGTGCTTAATAACTAACCTGATGGAGTTTTAGCTCAGTGAATGATGTAAATTCCGAGAAAACAATATGCTAGCATCTTGATTTCAATTCAAAAGTTGCTGAGTCATGTTTTGAATTGCTCCGCCCGTATTAAGCTTCTGGGACATGTTCTCATTCAGCCGATTGTAGCTACGCGATTTCACGCACTGAACCGATGAATTGTAGCAACTGCGTGCACGTGTGCATCCTGTCAATGCTTGCGGGCACCCATCCAAGGCTACATGTGTATGCCAAATTAAAAACGAACAACTAACCGAAATTTCCAAAAATGTGTCTTTAGACACATCTTTGGAAATGACCTTCTGTTTATTGTTTTCCTCAAAATGACAGTATAGGCCTACCAGAAAAAATAATTTCACAGGGAGTTTAGTGTCATACGATCTTAAAACCAAGTATGCTTTTCAATGATAATTTTGTCAGTTACTTTTTTGATAGCTGCAAATGATGTACTCTACCTTTAAGGAAAGTGCGAGTTTGTTGCATAAAATGATGGAAAATGCACTTCAGCAGATACCGTATGCACTTTGAGCAACAGTTAAGAAGCCTCAATCTAATATTCAATGTCATTTGGAAGCTGTGTTTTCCTGCAATTAACATGAACATACTTGATTTCTCGTATCACATTGTTAGTCAAAGTCCAGAAAAAAGTACAAACAATTTGATCTGTTTAATTCCATAATCCTCCCCAATTTTGGGTCCATAAGTTCAGGCCCCAGGATGTCGGTAATTTTGTTCAGCAATGATATTCAACTGGAGTACGGTATATTCCAGCCTACACAATGATGTTAATCAGATGACTTAATAAATGTCGCTCTGTCTTCTTTCCTTGACCTCATGCCAGCACTCTTAATGACCCTACAGTACCACTACCATCTCTTTACAAATATTACAGGAATCACTTCGTTAAATTATTTCCATAATTTCCTTCCTTCTTGTCATGCTCATCAGTTTTCATATTTTATGAATTCAACTGTGGGGGATAATCCGGTAAACATGTCTGTGAAATTGTCACATCAACATGTAACTCATAAAAATGTGCAAAAAAATTACATTTAATTTTACTTTTCTCCTTGCGGCAAACTTGAATTCTCAATGCTGATTGGTCAATTCCAAGAGGGCTACAGGTGTTGTAAGCCCACATCATAAATTAAGGATCCCCTTTATCTTAATTTGACATTTATGTAACAAAAACTCCTTAATTCAGCAGACATGTACATGTAACTTCCCATATTTAAGGCACTACACTCTTATATTGTATTCCTGATTTCATACATTTAGGACTGATTCAAGAGTATGGCAATTGTTTGTTTCTTATGGGGGTGGGGAGGGGGGAATTTTCATCTGCACTTTTGTATTGTTGTGATGTTTTTATGTTCCTGTAACTGAGTATAGTGAGAAAAAAAAATAGCTTCAATAAAATCAGCTGACAGAAGCACTTTTGAAGAAAATGTCTTGAAATCTACACAATAAAATCATCACAGATACAATTCCTGGCACATCCGTGAACTGCAACTAAAGATCTGTACACAGTATTCAGTTGTCATTATGCGCTGTATGAATGGATAGTTTCTGTGAAATGCTTACAATACAAAACTGTGTAATAACAGTGGAAGTAACGTCATTCATACTATTAATCAACTGAATGGAAAACTATTCATGCACTGTACTTTTAGACCATTACCCTTACAGCAGTACTAGTACTGCATGCACTTGGCTAAAAGTTTGTACTTGTAACTTTTGATAAAAAGTATTGATAAAACTACGTCGATTTTAATTTGTTGGATGTACACGTGTACATTATGTGTCTCTTTGTCTCCTGATCAACACATTCAACCACAAACATGCCAGAAAAACTGAATGTCCCACTCAAATGTAATGAATGAGCATGATTTACATGTACATAGCGACAAAAATGTGCACCAGGAGAATATATTAGGATGTCTGAACAGTACGCCATTCCAATCCTATCTAAGGTCATTTGTCTCTCCGACGGATTATTCCATTAAGTCACAGGAAGCCCACCCCTGATTGCAAACTTGCAACCAGCTGGCTGAAAAATTACACTGTAAAGGCGATTCATGGGGACAGATTTGTTATTCATCATGAAAGAGTCACTCTTCGCTGTACTTTAACAAAGTCAATGACTTTTATCGCATATATGACTCATAATCGGTTGTAAAAAAATAACAGGTGTACAATGCAAGGTATAGCCTACACATGATACATTGTACGGCGCACAGGACATTTAACAATGAGAATGTGCAGTACCATGGCGGTGGTGTAAATTTCCAGACAGCTGAAGGGAACTGTAAAACGTGCATACATTGTACATGCACATGTACGTATAATGTAACGGAGAAAAATAAATAACAAATTTAAAATTTAACACAACTACATACGTACATTGTAAAATTCCTCAGCAAAAAAGTTTAATAAGTTTGTATCTGCCCAAAGTATGATGTACATGTGTATGTACCACTACCACTGAATTTGGGACATGGTTCAGAAGAAGAACAAATAAAGAAAACAAATCCCCCAAAAGACTAATGTACCTTACTATTGTCTTTTTAGTGTAGGGGCTAGATGATATTACCCGCCACTGCGATAATCTGCCGCCGCGAAAGGGCCTTATCACGACCAACCAATATCACCCGCGAACCTGTCAGGAACAACGTCTAGGGAAATTTGTAAAACCTCCCCCCGAAAAATGGGCGAAACTAGAGCGCGTGCGCTACTTCTGCAGGCAATTACGGTCCATTTTCAGTCCCACGCACACTACACACCACAAAAGAGCTGACCAG